ATATCGATTATTCAAACTTGAAAGGAATATTGGATGTACAGAAATTTGCATTTAAATTTTGTCACATATATTTCGAGGACAAGTGGGATAAAAATTTTAATGGTTGAGGTTCTACTAGAAGCTTCCCCCCAAAGGGCTTTCATAAAGCCCAAGCTCTAATCTTTTGAGCTCAAATCATGGATTAACCACTAAGATGCTGCATAGTAAGATTAGCCCAAATCATCAGTATGACCAACTTTTGACCTACTTTTTTGCTAGTTTGATCCACAAACCTTTTTTGCTAGTTTGATCCACAAACATGTTAGGCTACGTCCTTGTTTGAAATTCTTCTATTGTGCTAGGTTACATGTCCTTCTAAGATATTTTTTTGCCATGTGTCAAGATATGATGGCCTCATCAAAGATCATCTATCACATGTTCAGATGCATTGTCTCTGTCAAAGATTTTACGTTACATGTGAAATGCATTGTCTTTGTCATTATTATCTGCTATGTGAGATTTGTTCCAATGATTTTCTACCACATGTTAAATGGATTACCCTTGTTAGAGATTTTATATCATGTCTAACATACATTGTCCTTATCAGAGATTTTTCTGCCACATGTTAGCTTATCAAATATTATTAGTTTCTATCTCTTCATTTTTCATCACATTTGACTAGGTAGACATGTGTTTAGGCACTTTCTCTATCCTAACTAGAAGTGGATTGGCATGCACTTTGTGAGTTCAAACTTTCTTCTCAATTGTGATGACACATTATTTAGTCGGTCAACATATTAGTGACCTAATTTTGCTCTCCTCTCCTTTTTCTTCTAAAATGATTTTTTTTATCTACTCCAATTTGGATCAGTGCTTAAATGATAACTTCTATTTTCTTCACTTTAGGCCTTGAAAACACATTCATATCATAACTAAAATTAGATATAAATATTTAGATCTTGATTGGATGATTAGTCCATTTCAACATGTTTCATATTAGCCTCATTTATGTGACTGAACCCAACAGCAGGCTCATTTGGAACCTACTACATATGCACCAAACACACTTCCCAAAAGAGGCATGTAACATCTATAGGTATCCACTAAAGTGCATTGCTTTTGTCCTGCCACCTAGTATGGCACAAATCTGCTTTATAATCATGTTGTTGGTTTAAATAATGCCATGAGGCTAGTTTAGTGTTTCTTGTAATTGACAATGTCAACTAATAGCCAACCTTGGGTTGTGTTTAAGGAAAAAATTATACTTTACTAAGATTTCCTACCACTTTGATTATAGTGGTGCCAGATTTCTTCTATTTCATATGGAAATAGTTTTTTGTCATTTTGTCATGTATACCATGACTTAGTTAGAAATAAATAGTTCTATCATACCTTCAACTAGTGAATGACAACCATCATCTTTATCCTATACATGAAGTTGATGTGCATTTTGCATCAAATTGCCCTTTTTGCATCAAATTGCCACTAGTAGCCAAATTGAATGCATTGATGTGTACTTCAAATGATTGGTCTGAGGTTAAGTAATTGTAAGATTAATTCACCTATGATTGCCTGCTTATGACTAACAAAGGTATGTTAGAACTAAGTCATCTAGTATCTTATGTCCTTTAAGTACCTATCAACAAGCTTTTTATAGTAATTGGACAAAGTAAAGAAAGACCTCAACTCCCATTTTCAGCTTGATGCCACTCACTTCTCAATGGTCCACACCTATCCCTTGTTCATTCTTATATCATCACCCCTTTTTATGTCACCAAGAAAGTTGACTTACTCCAAGATGAAGTCACCTTTCATAGGGTTAGAGAACAATGAACAGTTTGTCAACTTAGAGAGCATTTGTCAAAGGTACTCTTCATGTTCCTCCAAGCTTCTATTTTATACCAAAATTTCAACTAGATAAATCATGATGAACATGTCGATGTACCCATGAAATATGATGTTCATGAGAGAGAAGGTTACTTGATGTACACAATCATAAAACCATCCCTCCTATAGTGGACTACTTTTCCCCACTATTGTAATTGTCCCTAGCTCTTATCACAATTCTACCCACAATCACCTCAAAAAAAGCCACCCTAATAACTGCAACTTCTACTATGAAATATGTGATCAACCCTATAAATGGCTAGCAAGCACACCAAGTATAGCTATATTAGTGGCCTTGTAGTCAACATGGGCATCGGCCATCGCCATTGCCAATTATACATCCCTTGTTCTTTGGTTATATAGCTCCAACCTACATTTAAGTTTGTAGATCTACCATGAAGTTAAATAACATCCTCAACATATTCTTGACATCCAAGAGAAGTAAAAAAAAACTACAAGTAATTTTTCACATAGCCTATGTTGTGTAGTCAGCAGAATGCGTCTTATACCATTTACGTTTTATTTATCAAGAGGAATTACTCATTCATAGACTCTTTCAAGTGTCAAAGGGTCATCTGACTTGATCATGTCTTAATTCACCACCATAGCTTTATATCGCTAGAAAGTTACAGGCTTCTAAGCACCACCTTCTCTCGTCCTAAGGTGTAGACCACACAAAAGTAATGGCTGTGGTCTTGCAAGAAATTCTCTATTTCGCTTGCATTGCATGTACATATGAACACTTTGGTATTGAAACTCTCATCCAAGCTGTGTCACATTATTTGCCACTAGCACACATTGTGATGTAAAACTTCAGTTGTTCTACATCTACTACAAATGCCTCAAACATCTCACATCTTGTTTTTTGTCAATTTCCAATGCATGTGACTGACTCATTTCCAACTGCCTACAACCGTTCCTCTAATGTGAAATTTAACTTCTATGACCTCATATAAGAGAAAATTAGGATGATCCTTTCCTTTGAATGAGCAAACCTCTTTCCTTATGTGCTTCTCTTGCATTTCATCTTATTCTTTGCTCTAATACCAATTTCTGACATGGTGGTCTATTGATGTAGTTTATAGCTCCATTGTGTGCCAACCTCTATCATCCTCACTCACTACAAGAATTCCTCATGTTTTCTGAAGCAACTCAAGCTAACATGGCAATATACTCTTCTCTAAGAAGTATACTCTAAATAGAGGCCAGCCTTCTCCATCTGGAAAAAAACTTCTTGTAAGGAAGGGCCCCCCATGATTTTTCCCATTTTACCCTCTAAAGGTAACATCCCTCACCCTTGATCAGACTTATAGATAGAGTAGGACATGAGACTTGTCATTTAGCTACCACCTTGGTCGGTGCTTAAGACATTTTCTTAAAGATATTGGCATATGGTACAAGTTCTCAAACTAAAGCATGTCAACTAGGTTAATTGTCACATCCAATAACCTCATTATAAGCCTACGAAGCATCAAGCATGTCCACTGCACAGCTCTGTGTCCATTTATGTGCATGTGCCCATGTAGACTCATGTCATGCCATGATTCTTGTGCTGGCATGTGTCATGTGTCATGTGTGTTGATGTCATGCCATCATTCTTTTCTGTTCCCATTTCATTGTCCCTACTCTCTCTCTCTCTCTCTCTCACTCACTCACTCACTATTCTATCTATCTATCCATGTATCTAGTTATCAATTTCCTTCCTCCCACACCTCACACATTGAAAAAACATGAAACTCATTCCGCACTTTTAAGTGTGAATGAATATTCATGGAGACACAAAGTTAACTTTGATAAATTCGGTCTATACAATCAAACATGTTTTGGACTAAATATTTTCAGAACTTGTGAATTAAATTTTGATCACTTATTTTTACAGCCTAATGAAAATATATTTAGTAATTTCGTACCTTTAATATTGTACATAATTTGGTATTTGGTGCTTATATTTGAATAATTCGTAATGGTATCATTAGTAGTTTTGTAATGTATTACTATCATTCATTAAATAACTACGGTGATATTTACCATTATGAGAGTACCATTGTCTTTATCAAAAACTAATGTTGTCTTCTAGAAGATACTCATTTTTTTTGCAAGTATTCTTTTAGCTCACGAACTGCTATCTATTAGGCTGATTCTGAACTTTTAGTAAGTTCACGTAGAACTAGGTATTGAGCAAAAACATAGGAAACCTATACATTAATAATCTAAATTTTATATTGGGCTACTTGAGATCTCTAGAGAGACCTTTCTAATGAATTATCAAATTGGTCACCATTCAATAGGTTTAAGTGTGACCCACATGCTAATCAAGATTCATGGGTGTAAATGGGTTTGGGCAAAGACGAACCTAATCTGCATACTTATATTCTTTCCAAGCTAGGTATTTGGAGTCCAGTCCTTATGCAAATTACATCAATTTGTTGAGGTAGATCTCTTGGTCAAATGACGCTCTCCCCGTCTCTCTCTCTCTCTCACACACACACACACGCACACATGTCGATGGGTGCCAAGGTAGTTATATAGAATTTTATACCACATTAATTAAATCATCTTGATTTTCCAAACTGCATCCACGCCATGTGCTATTGGACGAACACTTTCAACGGTTGATTTGGTCAGCTTTTTGACTAACCAAACTTCTGCATCATGCCAAATGAAATAAATCACGTGGGTCACATCTCTCTCTATGGGATAACAATTATGAACAGAAATAAAAATACATATAGTAAATAATAACAAGTGGGACGTCCACTGATTGGTACGTGCTAGAGATGCGGGGCCCTGGTGAGCCCAAAGCTTGTCTCAAGATTGACTTTCTTGCCTTAGGCTTCCAAAATCGTATCGGATTTTAAAAAGGTCTTAATACCGGCCGAAATTCATGTGGGCCAGGTCAATGCTTTAGTCAGAACCAAGCCACGAGGCTCGGACACCTCTCGGGATTTTCATTGGGCCCAGGCCAGTACCATTGCCTGGACGAACACCGTACACCTTTCTATAAGAAGGCACTGCGTTCATCCGGCCATTGATTCTTGTAGATCCCCAACATTTCGCCATTACAGAGACGTACGGCTTTAGCTTTCCACAGTGTTCCTCATCACGTCTACTACAGTGCGCAGCCCCTACCCACCATGTCCACTTACGTCGGAGAGGTAGCAAGCGGCGACGGCGGCGACGGCGGTGGCGGCGGCGGCGGCTCCCAGGATCCATCGTCTCCGCCGGCAGGCATGGCCTCCCCCGCCGGCGAAAACGGCAACCAGAAGAGCACACCTCGCCGGAAGAACCAGCTGAGCCTCATACCGCTCATATTCATGATTTTCTTCGAGGTTTCCGGGGGGCCGTATGGCGAGGAGCCGGCCGTGCAGGCGGCGGGGCCACTCCTGGCGATCATCGGTTTCCTGGTCTTTCCCTTCATCTGGAGCATCCCTGAGGCTCTGGTGACAGCAGAGCTCGCCACCGCCTACCCAGGCAACGGGGGCTACGTGGTCTGGGTCACCGAAGCTTTCGGCCCTTTCCCCGGGTCTATGATGGGCAACTGGAAGTACCTCAGCGGCGTCATCAACAACGCCGCCTACCCCGTTCTCTGCTCCGATTATCTCTCCCGTATCTCCCCTCGCTTCGGTACCGGCGGCGGCTGGCGGGACGGAGCCATCATAGGGTTCACCCTTGCTCTTTCATTCCTCAACTATACCGGTCTAACCGTGGTCGGCTGGGCAGCAGTAGCACTGGCAGCGGTGGCGCTGGCCCCGTTCACGGTGATGGGAGCCGTGGCGCTGCCGAAGATCCGGCCGGGAAGGTGGCTGAGGACGCCCGAGGGGCGGATGGGGAGGAGCGACTGGAGCCTCTACTTCAACACGCTCTTCTGGAACCTGAATTTCTGGGACAACGTGAGCACGATGGCCGGGGAGGTGGAGCAGCCGCAACGGACGTTCCCCCGGGCGCTGCTGGGGGCGGGGCTGATGACCTGCATCGGCTATCTCGTGCCGTTGTTTGCTGCGACGGGGGCCCTGAATGTGCCGCAAGAGGATTGGAGCGACGGGTACCTCGCCGACGCCGCTGGTGAGTCCCCCTTGCCTTCTCCCTCTGCCATGCGGGAATAGAGTAGGTCATGACCGAGTAGGATTGGTTTGTTGAGGTAATAAGATATGCCCCCTTGGACTCCGGAGCTGAGTGGATTAGTCAACCCCGTCGGGTAAGACAACCCAGGCGGTGGGTCCTGTAACCAGAAGCCCTTTCCCTTCGGGTTCTCGTGCCGAGACAAAAGGGTGCCGAAGGCTTATCGGTTCGCTCCAAAACGATAACGTCAACCGATACGAAACACTTGATGAAGCCTAGGAGTCATACATTATTACTATATATATATATATATATTCAGTAGAGTTTCTCGAAAATAATTTGACATTGGGATTTTTCTTTACGAATTTATATATATATGTATATATCTCAAAATCATACACCATTAGTATTTTTGGAAGTTCATTTCGAAAGTATACTACCAGTCTCTCTCTCTCTCCTTCTCTTAATAGTCAAATAGTAGGGTTTCGGGAATAAATTTAAAAAAATAATTTACCAATCTCTCTCTCTCTCTCTCTCTCTCTCTCTCTCTCTCTCTCTCTCTCTCTCTCTCTCTCTCGTACTCACAAACACACGTACACATCCTGCTAATAACTGTCGAAAAAAAGTCAGAAACTGTCTCTTTTTTACGCACGCATCTAGTCTTTTGTCAGAGTCTGGAAGGAGAGCTAAAAATTAATGGGGGATAGGGATGGAATTGACAGACGTCAGCCAATACTGGTCCGAGGTCCTGAAGATTCATCATGTTCTGTGTTATGACTAGTAGCTTGGGAAGACAATCTATAGCTGCATCCCATGTAGGGTCATCTGAATCTAATCCAATTTGGTAGCCGCTCCGATTCGATCTTGTCCCCACCCCCAACAAAGTTCCGTCGGAATTTCGTTTCTTGTTAATTTTATCAGTAAATATAGCTGACGGTGACCTGCACCACGGTGTGCGGGATGATGGGTCGCAGGCTTGATCGTGGGGAGGTGGCTGAAGATCTGGGTGGAGGTGGGTGCCGTCCTCTCGGCCGTGGGGCTCTACGAAGCTCAGCTGAGCACCTGCGCCTTCCAGCTCCTCGGCATGGCGGATCTCGGGCTCCTCCCGCGCTTATTGGCCGTCCGCTCCACCTGGTTCGGGACCCCTTGGCTGGCCATCCTCGGCTCCACCGCGATAACCCTCGCCGTCTCCTTCATGAGCTTCGACAACATCATCGCCTCCGCCAACTTCCTCTACGGCCTTGGCATGCTCCTCGAGTTCGCCGCCTTCCTCTGGCTGCGCCGGCGGCGCCCCCTCCTGAAGAGGCCCTTCCGGATACCCATGAAATTCCCGGGCCTCATCGTCATGTGCCTGGTTCCATCGGGTTTCCTTCTCTTCGTCATGTTGATTGGGACCTGGCCGATTTACGCCATCAGCGCGGGGCTGACAGTGCTGGGCGTGGTCGTGTACTATGGCATGGGTATCATCAGGGCCAAAGGATGGATGGAGTTTAGCAAGGTCGAGAGCTACCAAAGAGAGGATGAAGGGGGAGCAGACCATGGGGAAGGGAGGGTTGTGGGTAGGGTGTGATAAAATTTCTTATAACCCAGATGGTGAAGGGGGGAGGAACTCTCTCTCTCTCTCTCTCTCTCTCTCTCTCTCTCTCTCTCTCTCTCTCTCGTCCTCTCCCTCGTTTCTCTTGTCTCTCTCTCGCTCGCTCCCTCTTACTCGCTCGTCCGCTGTCTCTCTCGCTCTCTATCAATCCATCTATCTACCTATCAATCTGTCGGCAAACGAGAGTCTATCAACAGTCGGTCACCAGTCCATACTAGTCTTCCAATTTTTTACTCAATCAACTATTAGTATATACTACGATGCTTGTTATTTTCACAAATTACGACGATGAGGTTGCTCCTCTAACAATGGAACGACAATCTGATAATATCGCTCTATCTTTTCTTCCATTATATGAGGTGGATCTCCGCTCCTCAGGGTGCCTCCTCTCCTCCGTGCAAGTCTGAAATCACCAAAAAAATAACTCATATAGTTAAGAAAAACCATAAAATTCAATGAAGAAAAAAATATACGTATAATCAAATAAGCCTTAAATAATTTCAAGGAATGACTGACTACAAATACGTATATGGTTTCTATGAAACTATAAATAAACTGAGGTACTGCGAAGATTTTCAAGTTAATAAAGAGATATGAAACTCTAAGAGGGGGAGCTTTGCATTAGTCAAATATGGTAAAAGTAAATTATAATTAACCCCAGCATAACCAAAATGAAACATTTTGATTCAGTAATTTAATCAAAGAAATGCAAAGAACATGTACCTAACTTCAGGGAAAGTAAATTCTGTATTTCGGATTCAGAAAGTGGACAAGTAGAAAGAGAAGATGGATGTGAAGAAGAACGATAGTGGCAGAACAATAGACATGAAGAAGAAGAAAAGGAAAAGAAGGTGAAAGCCTCTCGCCCAAGATGGAGGCCAAGGATCTGAGCTCTCTCCTTCAGCTGGAGTTGATGCACATCCAAACCATAATTAACACCTTTTTATTCCTAGTAAACCATAAAATAAAGTATAGATACGGTTTCTAAATATTTCAATTACGTAGCTTTTTAACCTAATCCTGTATCAATTGAATAGGATAGTAAACATGCACCTTATTTGTGATATCCTCTGACCAAAACAGTGTTTTGTTTTTTTTGGAGAAGAGCCCTTATCTATTTTCTCTGATTTTAGCCCTCTTTTGAGCCCAGTTATCTACTTGGTCATTAGCCTAATAACGTGTATATGTAGGCTGGTCCTAGGTTGAAGGACAGGCAGCCATTTTTTCTCTCTACAAAGCACTTCCCCAGCCTAAGGTTTCTATTAACTGAATTTCTTATATAGTATCTGTTCCTAAGTCTTGATTACTGAATTGCACCCACTTCTATAGCCATTATATGATCACATTAACACACCACACCGTTTGGATGGCTTCATTCTTCTGTTCAAAAAACTTTTGACTTATATGAGAAGGAAAATTGAGGATGCTTTCAAGAGCCTTCAAGTGATTATCTTTTGGAGGAATTGATGAAATGGTAAATTTTGGCTATAACTCTTACAAACTATGATACCATTAATTATTTTAATGATATTTGGATGAATGTATGGATCAATAATGTCAAGTACAATTATAAAGGCTACTATGTTGGTTTTATGAAAAAACTTTATTCATGACATGTGAACAACTTGAAGATAAAAAATTTAACTGGAAATTTTCTTCATGTTTTCAGTTAGATATTGATACTCTCTCCAAGTACTAGTTCGTAGTGCACATCCTGCATATTAGTGACGTTGAAGTGGTTGCTGATAAAGCATGAATTTTATCAGTAACGTGTTTAATTGAAATTTTCTAATTTTATTAAAAGCTAGCGCTGAAGTTCAGTTCATGCCATATAAGACGTCACTTCACAAACCCATTCAGAAATATGATACATACTCTACATTCCGCAATTGATGGGCAAAGTTTAAAAAATATATCATATTGAACACCATCCTGCACGTGCTACACTCAAATAATATCATATATCTCATCATACCAGACGATAACCTTAGATCATTATACTCCAATTATATTTTCCTAAGTTTTCCTTCACACCACATACATTACTGGCCTTTTCAGTCCCTTGCAGTTGAAATCCAGATTGGTGAGCCCAAGTAGCTCCCCCATCTCCTTCAACTCACACACATTATTAACATTCTCAATTGTTCACAGTTGAGTAAATTGGTTCTAAATAAAGAAGAATGTGCCCAAATAGTTGCCATCATGGGCATAAAGGAGCTAACCTTCCAAGTTGGCAACAGTTGAACGGGCCCTACATCCTCGGGCGGGTGCTGAGTTCCTTCTTCATCTGGTCTCTCAGAACTCTTCTCAGCAACTTGTTTGAAGCAGTTCGAGGAAATTCCGCAACGACCCTGACAAAGCTCACCTGTTGATCAGAGAATCAAAGGTTCTTTAAGCTCACTCCGAAGAGCAAATTCTAATACAAACAGTACACCAACAGCCACAGCATTTTACGCAAACAAATTAGGAGCCCCAGGCCACACTGAAACTCGGTCCTGGTCGACCCTCCAACCCCAACTTCATAAAAAATAAAAATAAAAATAAAAATGCAGCATATTTTGAATCAATTTTCACTTTGATTGTCGAACAGTAGCAAAGAACTGGCAGCATGGGATCATGATATTTGGTGCGATTGAGAATTATGGGAGAAACCTTGAACAATGGATTCAGGTTCGCCCGAATAGCTCTTTGGAACTTTGTTTCCAGGACGCCAACTTCCCAGTCAGACGATCTGTCTTTGGGGACAACAAATATTACCAATTGCTCAGGGCCACCGTTATGCATTCTGACGCTCACAGCAGCAGTCTCTAATATATTCGCATCAGCTCTGTTGCATATCCTCTCTATCTCCACTGAACTTGTCTGTTTTACACGCACTTGGATCATAAGTCTGGACTTCAGATTACCTATCTTGGGAAAAATGAGATGGGCCATGAGATATTCAATACCTTGATGCCTCCAAGATTCATAGTATCATCTGCTCTCCCATGTACCCTGTAATAGCCTCCGACAGTTCTCTCAATAATATCTCCGTGTCTTCGAAGTTGCTGAAAACAATACCCGAGACAGAGCGAGACTAAATATTGTGATCAAAATTGATAAGTATCTATCGTAACATGCTTTTCCAGAAAAATCACGGAACCAAGTTCCATAGAACAGAAGAAAAAAGAAAAAAAATATTTCCCATATAAACCTGAGGCAGTCCTCTAGGATATTGCATGATAAACATTGGCACCAATTTTGACATGCTGTGAACTAGTCAAGAAACTAATGTTCACATATGGCAGGATTTTAACGAAATTAACCATTTCCTAAAGCTTCAGCTGAGAAAGATGTGGACATCTACAAGCAGGTTATCCACCCTTTAATGAAAACGGCAAAATGTTTTCGTACCATTCCGTTGTAAATTGGCATTCCCTCCAGATAAACCTTTTCGTGATCAGCGTTGAGTAATTTAACGGAGCTACCCATATTCTGAGCAAATAAACCAACCTCTCCAACACAGGGTTGATTGTCAGGCTGCCACATAAAATCCAGTGAGTGTTATATCTGACCAATAAACAAAACCTTCCTGCATGAAACGTCCAAAGATAAACTTCAAGGGAAGAAGAATTTATCCTTACATATGGCAGTCCCTGTTCACTGAGAATCACAAACCCAGTTGACATGCCTGGGGTGCTAAAAGCTCCAAAAGCCTGACATTGTAAAGGGTTCCCAAAAATGTAAGATGATGCAAGCTCGGTGCCACCACAGCATTCAATAATAGGCTTATAGCCAGCCTGTGAAGAGAGCCACAAATCATCATCGACATCAGAAGCCTCCCCTGTAGATGACAGTGTCCTGCAACGAAAGTAAGAATTCGCCATTAGCAACAGCAGGCCACAGTGCTAAACTTCAATCGATAAGAAGAGAACAAATCCATAGTAACCTAATTTTTGTCCAATCAAGTCCTTCGAGGCAGTTGGAGTTCTTCCAGGACTTCACTAAGCTTGGTACGGTACCCAAAATTGTCACACCAGCGTCCTAAACATAATTGAAGAGGACATGAGACATGACACTTGACCCTGGAATTATGTCCAACGAAAGAAGGTTATTAATTCATGCTCACCTGAACAAATTTTCCAAAGCCACGCCCGAGTGGAGATCCATGATAAAGGGCTAAAGTTGCACCACTTAGAAAACATGAATACACCGTAATCGGCCCCATTACCCAACCCAGATTTGTAGGCCAGCAAAGAATATCTCCACTTTGTACATCAATGTGTGCCCAGGAGTCGGCTGCGCATCTTATTGGAGAAAGTTGGGACCAGGGAATAGCTTTTGGATCACCTATAATAAATTCACAACATTGGATTTTCAATCAAAGAGTGAATATAGAATAGATACTAAATGAATGCGATTGAAGAGATTGCGACCACCTGTGGTCCCTGAAGAGAAAAGCACATTTATTATAGCATCAATCGGCTGGTGCACTGGAAAATAGTGGAAGGGTCTGCAAAGATAAATCAGCGTTCTTATCAAGTATAAGACACCCTTGGCAACACCAAAGAACACCAATTTAGGGATCATCAATTTAAGGTCGTACAATGTCTTTTTCACTTGACATCTTAACTAGTAAATACGAATACCTTGGAAAACGTTCAACTGATGACAGAAAATCATTCCAAGATAAATCATTCTTCCGCAATTTCACTTCTAGTCCTTTTCCGCTTGCAGGAACAACAATAGCTTTACAGGGGCTTCCTTCCACAACACGACTGAAAGGACAGAAAAAGTGAAGAACAGTCAAATATAATGAAACTCCATTGAGTCATACGTATGTACACTTTAATAATGAAACTCCATTGAGTCATAAACAAAGGAGCAAGCTGGGCATGAATGATATCCATGCACCAGCTTAAGGGAGAGTGTTACACAGAACAAGATTTTTTCTATATTAGGCTTTCCTTCTATTTTTCTGTTATGTCCTATTATGAGATGTATTTTCGTTTTTGTGTTTCTGTTATTAGACCTTTCCGTAATACTGGAAAAGTATATTAGACGCCAATATAAATACTGGTGTATTGCCTTGAGAAGGGCTAAGTCAGTTTTTCCCTTTCCTGCTTCTGCTGTATCTCGTAACAGAAATCCATCTTTGCTAATAATCTCACTTTATAAATATAAAAATCTGGTCTTATCTTGGCCACAGTCTATCATAATGGATATTACATTCCTATAAATACACACTATAAAGCTATATCCTTGTTTGTACTCATAAATAATAAATAACATAAAAAAGGGACTACCTAGACATCTGTTGCAGTTTATCAGTCGAAAAATCATAAATACAAAAGGCATTCGTTATTTTCCAAACAAAGCACAACTGTATAGAGAAAATCAAGCCAATTCCTTCTGATGTAGGAATATGATTCTAAACAGCAAGGCAGAAATGATTAATATAAATATATAGGTGGTAATTTTTAAAAACTATAAGGTGCACAGGGGAAAAAGGTGACTTCAGGTGGCAATATCAAGTTCACTGTAAACCTGCAAAGGGCAATGCTTGCACATGACCATTTTACAGTTAATGATAATCAAAGCCGATTTCTTTATTTCTGATCGTAATTCATTAAATCCAAGACACTCACCTATACAATGGAACTGTCTTTCCACCTCTAATTATAAAATCCTGAAAAGCCAAAGCTGAAAGGTATGAATTTCGGGATAAAAAATTGCAGCATAAATATGAGACGGTTCCCATCACAATAAGCTGGGATAGCAATAAAGCTGTTTCATTAAGACATAATCTTCAAGTCGACATTTGTACATCGAATATGTAAATAAAACCCTATTTTCACAATACCAGGCCCATCCAATCAGAATCAGTCTTCTACATTACAGCTTCAATAGGATACCTACGGTACTACAAGAATTACATAGCATATAAAGAGTGATCTGGTCATTTTTATTGTACAATTAGCATCACATAAAGAGTCCCTCACTGCAGAACTAAAGCAGCATCTTATTTTCAGCTTCAAAAGCCAAGTTGGTTTTGACATTTTTTAGCTATACAGTTGCCGATTGTTTCTCTGTATCGTAGTTGAATGCATTCGGTTCGCACAACAGAATGGATATTGCACAAAAAGAGCACCTGAGTAAATATTCCCTGCGCCTTAGACACCCTGATGCGAGTCTCAATTTCCTTAGCAGCAAAGCTGTCAGCTATTGAGACAACAACATATCCTGCAAGAATGATCGCAAGATATATGATAACAGCAGTTACTGTCATTGGCATGTCTATTGCGATTGCATCCCCCTTGCTGAAAGTTGCATCCAGTGCATTTGCAACCATCCTGTAGATAATAATGCTCGATTATTGGTAAAGTAAAATCAAAATTAGATCGCCGTGGTTTCCAATGAGCTGCAAAGAGGAACAACATGAACACTACTTTCATACATCACTTGATCGCGTAGCTCCTTCAGTGATAAACAATTGACTGAAGAGTCATCTCCTTCATCCCTCCATACAATGGCAACACTGTCATCACTTCTCTTCATTGGCAAAAGACAGCATTCACTAATGTTCAAAACCGCGCCTGGTAGCCATTTTCCTCCATATTTAGATTGCTCAGAAGTATCTAGAATGCGTCTTGGATTCTCTTGAAACTTGAGTGAAAGCTCTTGAAGAACAATTTCCCAGTACACCTGAAATTGCCGACATACTACATTACAATACCACATACTTTCTCTGCCAATGCTCTCTGCAGATAGGTGCAGTAGTGCCCAGAACATTTGATCTAATGGAGTAAACCAGATAACTTACCTCTGGATGTTGCACCGAAAACTTCTGAAAGAGACTAAAGCTATCAATTGGATTACTGTACGATGTGCCCAGAAGTTTCCTCCCATGAAACTCCAAAATTCGCCCAAGATTTGTGTCCTTCGAGTACACTCTGCCGACATTTAAAGGTGAGGTCTCAGGTGAGAAGTAGTGCACCAAAAAGACGGAATGAAGTCGTTGGGCAAGACGCTTCGGTTATTATACCCGGTGAATCTCAAGGTTTCCATTGTTATGCGGACATGATAGAGAAATCCTTCTAACGAAACGGCGTCTATAAGAAATCCGATGCCTACGAGAACGGCAAGCATACTCACGGGGAGGGGAACCAGTAGGGAGGAGGCCCCCTGATGGCTGCGTCCCATCCACCATACACCGAGTAGAACACCAGCTGGTGCACCGCGTGTGGATGCCTCGGCTGCAGCACCCCCGCCGCCAGCAGATTCCTCCACGTCTCCGCCGCATCCCCAACCGCTGCCTCCCTGACCGCCGCCAGGAAATCCCCTGCTTCCGGGAGTTGCAGACCCGCCGCCACGACGTCCTCCAAGGTCACCTCCCATATGCTGGCCCTCCGCGTGGCCGCCATGGGGATACCAGGTCCTCACTCCGTTCTGTCTAGATCCCCACCTTCAGCACAGCCACACTTCGGATCTCCTCCGTTCGCCCCCGGGTAGCTGCTTCGACGCTGATGCCCCCTCACGAGAGAAATAGTGAAGGAGGTAGGTACCACCAACCTGGCCACTGATCAAGAGGCGCCAAACTGTGTAGCCGGTTTCTGCGACGGGTGGGCACGTGTCTCCACTGATCAAGAGGCACCAAACTGCCGCTTTCCCGGCCGACTAACCATTCAAACGGGACTGCCGCCGCTCGCCTGCCGCCCTTTCTTAATGGACAATCCGGAGTTAATCTCCTAATAATGGTCGGCCAACAGCGAGCACCTCTCGAATCCGTGCTTGGGCCTCCCGATCTTTCCAAGAACAAAGCAACATACCGCCCAAACTAGACAAGGCCCGCTAGTGACCGGTCGTTTTTCTCTCTTTTTTTATTATATTTATTTTTTGAAGGAATTTCCTTTTATTCGCTTGTTTCATTGCTAATCATCACAATGTATTTATTTTTTATTTTTCATATTGAGAAATTTCCCCAATAGTAGCACATTAAAATATGGAAATTAATCATTCCTCAATGTAGTCATTAATAATCCCCCCTTTTTTTCATTTTTTTACTTGATGGGGTTTCATATTACTTATTCCCCCTCCCCTTGTGCTAACTTTTCTAAGATTTTTGCTTAGGTGCCTCCATTCTATGCCTTAAAAAAGGGAAATAAAAGTGGGTTATAAGCTTCCTTCCAAAAAAAATCATATACGTTATCTACAATAAATGTAACATGTGTGAGTTATTTTATTATTTGTACATTTTAACAAAATTGATTTATTCTCAACCTTCCTTTCTCTAGGTTGTGAAGCATATATTATTCCTTCTTTGTTCACATATCTACATTCGCTTTCAAATTTTTTTAGTTTTTGTTGACTGTTCTTGAATTTCACAAAAAAGTTTTATAACTTATCTTTCTCTATTATTTTCTCTTTATTGATCAATTTCCTTCCACAACTCTCTCATACGTTTTTCTAGGTGTGATTGTAACTCAATGATTTCATTGGATATTTCATTTATTTCATGATTATAAATTTTCATATATTTTTTATTGGTGCACAGCTCATCAGTCATGATTTTGATTTGTTTCTTCAGCTCTCAAACCTCATATTATAGATTTTTCATAGCTTACATTTTCTTTTAGTTAACACTTTGTGAAAATCACCAAGTAATTCAAATAATTATTTATTACACATTTAATCATTGTATAAGTCAATAGGTTTTATTTGAGTTCTTCTGTAAATTCATTTTTTTTTCCCATTTGACTCTAAACCGTTTTTCAATTTTCAAGATCCATAATGATCATCTAATGATTGCATTATATCACGACCGTTGGATCCAAATATCATTCACTTAAGTTAGCAACCATTAAGACTCTTTGACAATTTAATGCAACCATTGAGATCATTAAGTCAGCAATCATTCACTAAGTTGTTTGCTCTAACACAATTAAGTCACATTTGTTGGATCATTATAACAAGATCCATCGCTATGCCTATCAACGATTGCCATCAAATCTTCCTCGCATCTTGTTATTCTTTAGAACACGTGGCGTTGATCAGAACCTTAATCAGATCATGTCTTGTGTGAGACATCTGATCACGATGACAAGTATCCACCAGATCCACCTCAAGACTTCAATATTTTGTCATGCCCACTAATCTTGGCCCTCAGATATTCCTAAAATAAAAAAATAAAATAACAATCATCAATAGTGTTAAACTTAACACTAGGTGATTTCTTATTAGAAAATTTCTAGAAAAATTCCTAAAAACCAGGGAAAATAAGATAATTCTTCTCAAACTATAATTAATCATTTAAAGCTTGATAACATGTCATATTCAATGAAAACCTGCTAAAAACGTGTATAAATAATGTTAAAATGGGTGCCAGCACCATTGCATCAAAGTAAGTTGGATCAAATGTAGAGTTAATTTTTTTGGGAGCATACAAAATTGAAGAGTATTGATAGGTCCTTGACAATATTTGTAGTAAGACTTTTCAAAACAAGTAAACAATCAAGAGGTCTAATTTCAAAACATTCAAGATTATTTATTTAAATGAAAATAATCAAAAGGATATTGAAAGTATGTGAATACCAACTAGTGAATGTTGAGGAAATAACATCTACAATACCAAGGACAAGGTGAAATGGGTTAGCTATTCTTTGAGAGGTTGCTAATGGGAGAGTTTTTGTTTAAAATTTTCACAAAATGCACATACTTTTTACAATAATAGGAGCACATATTCCTACCATATTTTGTTCCATGATTCTCCATTTTTTATACATTAATGTCGTGCTATTACTCTTTATCCCGTTCAAAATCCTCACACATCCTTGTGCTATTAAGCAACATTCCTCCTAACATACCTCCTTTGAAGTCTTATACAACCAAGACTCAATCCATGATGCCCTCCAAAGTCATGTCTCATATGTGGGTCTACTATACAAAGATTTTCAACATATGAGCACTTGTTACCACCTAATATGGCTCCCTCTACACTATTAATCTAAATACACATCCTCCCCCCACCCTTTTAGTAGAAACTTATAGAGATATAGTATATTGACTCTTTCTTTATTCAAATATTTAGGTGTATTTTACCATATACTTTATATGATATCATGAATGACAACACTTTTCTTAACATAATTAATACATGAGCCATTAATATTAAAAGTCTGTATTAAATGGTGGAGCATTGCGACTTTCTACAACATTTTTTTTGACACCTAGAACTTGATGACATATTTCTACAACATCTTGGCCCACTTGAGGCCCATAAAATACCTTAAAAGGATTAAGAATTTAATTGAGAAAAAAATGTACTACTTGTTATGATAATTTTGTTTGTTTTTTTGTCAATTTTTTAAATTAATTTCTATTTAATCAGTTCTTATTGATCATAACTTGGATTATCTAAATATTACTCAATAAACCTTACAAATGTAACTTAATAAGTATTGATTAATTATAAAGAAAATTTCTCATGCTCTAATATAATTAGTTCTAATTTTGATTTCAAGGTATGCCAAATGCCCATTTTTGTAATTTGCATCAAGTTGGCCACTGTTCAAATGCAGATTATAAAGATGCTCTTGAACCCATCTTATGAAGGCACCACTAAGCAATCCGTGATAAACACAATAGTAAAAATATGTCTATAGTCAGTTTAACGAACCAAATAAAATATATCAGTATTTTCATATTATTTAAATTTAAATATATCTAAGATTTAAACACAGGTGCAAAAGTTTCATAAAATCTAAGCTTGAATTTTGTTTGTTATAGGCTTTTTTAAAGACCACTTGATCTTCGACATAATAGAAACTTTGATTGTTCTAAGATTTTCCCTCACTCGAAATAATTATGGTTTGGATCCTATTTTCATTTTAGGAAGAAAAAGTACTTATTATATAAGACTAATTAAATTTATAATATGCAGCTATTATCATTATTGATAAAAAAAGAGATGATAGTAGGGTTATCTGTTTACTTATTTTAATTCTGGATTTAACGAGAAACATTTTTGTCGTAGAGATATTTGTCATATAGGGGTGTACATATTTTGGATAATTTTATTTGGGCTTTTTAGAAATAATCCTTACTCAACGGGCACTAGGCGGGAGAAGGGTTTTGTTTAGGGTTTGGACCGGACGTCTTCATTCAGTCCCCTACCGGCGACCATTCTCTCTGTAAGCGAGGTGGCTTAGTTACACACCTCTACCGAGATTCCTCGACGCTCCGTCGCCCACCCCCACAAGCAGCTGCCCTGCTGTCTGGAATTCCGCACGGTGGGTCGTCCGCAGGCTGGCCTCCTAGGTAACGTGGTTCGTTAGAATGGCGATGCCGAATAAAGGTAAGGCGAAGGGTAAGAAGGAGAACAGGTTCAAGTCTACGTCTGGGAAGGAGGCTACCAGGGATGCACTTGCACCCCGGCGACCAGCAGCCTCCATGAAGAAACAGTCAAGGAAGAAGACGGAGCGCCATCCCGACGCTTCAGCCTTGTCGATGGAACCTAATTTTATCGCGGCACAGGATGAGGAGCCTGACTTCCCCAGAGGTCAGCTTCCTTGTTTGCTTCTGGTTTGATGTATGTCATTTTTTGGAAAAACTTCATTTGGGTCCGACGCTAATTTTCATTTTCTTGGTTAAACTCAGGTGGCGCAAGCTTGCTCACTCGGGAAGAGGAGGCAGAAGCGCGTGCGGAGGCTGACGAGGAGTTCATGAGGGAGCTGAAAACTGGTAATAAGAACAAGCAAGGGAAGAAGAAAAGGGACAAGGGTCGTGTGCCTGGTTCCCTATCAGAACCGGAGGATATGTGGGGATCTCTATTCGGGGAGGGCATTGGCGGGAAGCTTCCTCGTTTTGCTAACCGAGTTACCTTAAAGGTTTCAGATTTTTTGCTATTCATGCATCTTTTCTCTTTTCTTCTACTATGAAAAATCTCTAGACCCCTCCCCCTCCCTTCCTTTTTTCAATAAGCTTCATCGGCTTTTTTCGTGCTTAAAATATTTATTTCTCTTGAGCCCTGAGCTTGAAGTTATTTATGTTATCCCTTGGCAAGTAATCTTTTTCGATATCTTTGTTTTCCATTTAGCGTGTAGTGAAAGAATTTTTGACATATCTAGTTCTTTCTTTCTATAGTATTCGTTTTTTCTAAATGATCATTATATTCGGTTTCTCAGAATGTGTCACCTAATATGAAACTTTGGGGAGTCGTCTCTGAAGTTAACACGAAGGACCTTGTGATCAGTCTTCCAGGGGGTCTGAGAGGTTTTGTTCGTGCTGAGGAAGTGTTGGACATAATTCCAGACGACAAACTGAAGGTGCCAGTTTTCATATGTAACGTTTTTAAGGATGTTGTTTCAAAATTGCTGGGTTGTTAACTTTCTCTTGTGAATTTTGTATCAGTTTATTTTCTAGGAATATGCAGTTGCGCATATACTAAAGAATACTTTCTTTTGGCAGGATTCCGAGAACAGCTTTCTATTTAGCGTGTTTCATGTTGGGCAGCTTGTCCCCTGCATCGTGTTGCAGACAGATGAAGATAAACGGGGAGGGAAAGTGCATAAAAGAATCTGGTTGTCTCTCCGGCTGTCATGTCTGCAGAAGAGCCTCTCTTTGGACAGCTTACAAGTGGGAATGGTATGCTTTTAATAGGCGTGTTTCTATAGATTTTTTTTGCAGAATCCGAGGTCAATAACTATAAAATCCTAACAAAAACTTGACTTTTAAATGGTTAGATCTATTGCTATTGTTAGTTTTATTGGAGAGATTTCTTATTAGAAAGATTTGTGATATAAATGATATACATTGATATTGGCCGCGGAGATTAAGTAATTGGGATTGCTGTATTTTCTTCTTCCCATTTTTCTTAGAATCATATGACTAGCTTGAAATATTTATGTCTAACGGATTAAAAACCATGTCTTGTTGTCAAAATGTACGAATTAACGTTATTTTTTATACGATTACAGTGAAAATGAGTAACAAAGTCTCGAAAATTTCCAATCGCTTACTCATCAATGGGCATTCATTGATTCTTTCATGAGCAGTGGTTGATGATGGCGGTGAATATGTCCTTGTCTTCTCCATTTTTTTTTCACTTTTGGTATTTCTTTTTCTTGTAAGCAGAGTTGAACGTTTAAGCTTGTTGTTGTTTTAGCTGTAACTGCATCAGGTCTTTTTTATGTGTACGTTTCTTTAATAAAGAAGGAAATTTTAAACCCTATGAAATTGGATATTTTCTAAGAGAACTAACAATAACATGGATATTATGGAAATAAAAGAGCTTATACTAAATTTTAGAAAGTAACCTTTGAAAGCTGGAACTTCAGCAAAAAGAGTAGTGTCTTATCGCTTGATACTGAAGTCATGCCAAAAGCAATAGATGACCCAGTAGGATTAGGTGCATTAAAAAAATATTCTTTACAATGATGAGACGCTGTTTAATATCGTTTAATATTTACGAGTTTCGTACTGTCCTGTTTTGGTATATTTCTCATCTGTTGGTCTTAATTTATTAGCTTGCTTCATGTATGATCATAAGCAGATGGTTCGACTCATGATGCCATGCTTTTGTGAAAGGTTCTAACAGCACAGGTGAAGAGCATTGAGGATCATGGATGCATTCTTCATTTTGGATTCTCTTCAGTTTCTGGATTCTTGCCACAAAATTCTGAAGGTTGTAGCATCTGTAGTCATTTTTTTCTAACGCCCCTATATTTATGTATTATCTCTAGTGTCCAGGTGATCGTGTTATTCTGTCTTGCATGTAGTTTTTATTTAGTTTCTTTCCTTTTTTGTCTCGTTTCATCCTTTTCTTTGTTTTTTCTGAAGATCGCGTTTAAATGGTTGTTTGATACTCATTATGTCAACAATTCAGCGTATCTCAACTATGCAGGGATTTTGAGTTTTGTTGTCTCTTGATTTAATCTAATAGTGTAGTGCTTTTGGCAGAAAAAGTCCGAATGTTCAAAACTGGGCAATTGTTACAAGGTGTTGTCAAGAGTATTGACAAAACTCGTGGTGCAGTGATCCTGGATTCGGAGCCTGAATTGGTGACCAATTCCATTGTATGCGCTTACTATCCACTATTGTTTTGTCATATATTTTACCCGTTTCCTTCCAACCCTTTTTGGCATCCCTGATTATCGAAACATATTTGTCTTTTTTCTCGAACAGCTACAGGACCTTAAGGGACTCTCTATTGATCAGCTTGTTCCTGGAATGATGGTTAATGCTCAAGTACATGCTACCCTCGAAAATGGAGTTATGTTATCCTTTCTAACTTACTTTAAAGGAACGGTGAGAGCCATCACGCCCTTACAAATTGGCAAGATTCTACTTTTTGAGAGGAAAAACTAATAGATGTCTCTACGAATTTCTCCTTAATGTTTTCTCAGGTTGATATTTTCCATTTGCAAAACTCATTTCCTAGTGCATCTTGGAAGGATGAATACCCTCAACATAAAAAGGTGATATAAGTCTTCCCTGCATCTATGTCGTTTTTAACAATTCTCAATATTTTTTATAGTTCGAAAATCAATTTTCCTATAATTGAAGTATGCAGTTGAATAAAGTCGTATGCTTTCGTATCTGTACTTTGGGTTATTCTGTTAGCTTGAATTGTGACCATTTTTGCTTGTTCTTTCTCTTTGTAAATTTTTTTGAACGGTATGTGTGGAGGTTTTATAAATTCTATGTGGGAAACTTAAGGGACATGTTTGTTCAATAGTTGAGATCCTTATCAATTTAATTATTCTGACTGTATTATGAAAAAACTTTTATCGAAATTTTTGGATGCCTTTTAACTGCATGCCATGAACGACCCTTTTGAATAGTTTTAAGTATTCTTACAGAATAATAATACTTCCTGGTCTACATCAGAACTAGAAAAGTAAATTGGAACTTGTTGTTATCTGTACATGTCTGCGTTGATGGGATCATGTCTTTCCTATGTGTTAAGAAAGCTAGAAGGTAAAAATAAGTTAAAACCCTGTCAGAAATTGGTGCTTCATTCTGATTACATATTTTGATTTAATTTTTATTTCTCTCGTTTTCATTTTCCTGATTTTTAATGATTTTTTGTGGAACCAGATGAAGACTAGTTCTGTCATAATTCGACTGAACTATCCTAGACCATCCAGAGTGTGATTTGTCTTTTTAAACATTGGTAGCCCAAAAACTGTTTTCTTTCCAGAGTTTGGATTTTTTCATTGAGTCTTTACGTTGGTAGGATCTGGCAGCTATGAAAAAAATCTAGAAAATCTTGCCTATGATGCAGATAGTTCTTACTGAGTGCAGACTGCGTCAGCATAATATTCAAATATTTTCATTATCCTTACTTTCTGTCTCACTTTTCTAGCTCTTTGCTATGATTTTTTGTTCTTGTCGGAAGAATGGTCTTTTAATAGTTGGATTTCTTTGTTGGTTGCATATATTTTCAAATATGGATGCTAAATATCGTCAATGTATAAAATAATTGATTCAAATAAAAAATAATTCAAGAAACTGCTGATCAAACGATTGATAAATTGATTTTAATAGATTTTTCCATTTATTTTGTGAAGGTGAATGCCCGAATACTATTTATTGACCCATCAACCAGAGCTATTGGTCTGACTTTGAATCGACACCTCATTCTGAATCGTGCTCCTCCCCCTGTAAGTTGTGGATGTGCTGTGGATACTTGACACGATAGTATTTATCCATACCTGAAAGCTGATATTGTTTGTGTTTCTATAGTATGTAAAGACTGGAGATATATATGACACTGCAAAGATTATTCGTGTGGACATGGGAATTGGTCTTCTACTGGAGATCCCTTCCACTCCAGCTTCATCACCTGCGTATGTTAGTGTATGTTGCATGGTCTATTGCTCTCTTATTTTTTGAATAGGCAAGAATAAGGCTCATGATTGGCTAGTTAGGCCATATTTGGATGGGATACTTATGATCGGTTAGTTTTGGAACACTTGTATTTCAGATATTTGAAGCAGCTGATGAGGTTCAAAAGTTGGACAAGAGGTTCAAGGAAGGTGGTCATGTTCGTGTTCGCATTCTAGGCACCAGGAATGTGGAAGGAATGGCAATGGGAACCCTAAAGGTAGTATCAACTCGGTGCCATTACATTATTCTCAAACAATGTTCGCATTCTAAACTTTGTGCTGAGTAGTAAAATAAATATTTACTAAATATTGTTAATCCGCTCACCAATAAAAAAGTTTCCTTTCAAACTGTTCCATGTAATGTAAATAGAAAGTATTTCTCCGTTGGTGCAGCAGCGAAGACATTAATTCTCTCAATGAGATAGGTCTTGTCGTTGTCGTGAACAGTGGTGGCACTAACCATAGGAGAGAGAAAAACTCACTTCGTATTCTCATCATAGGTGACTGTTATATACAAGCCAAGGAAACTACCTAACAAATAGTAAACTGAAAACATAGGAAACGGTCCTACTAAGAAGCGAACTCCTTAATATATGTTTCCCATAGCCGTAGTATGTTAACTTACTTGAGTGAATAATAGCCTGCATTCAATTAATATAAGGAGCTTATATCTTTCAATTAGGTAACATATGGCAGAATAAGACTAGATGCTTGTGCTTGAAAACTAGCAAGAATTAGATTTTTTGTATCAACCTGCCTTGTGGAGGATTCGTGTTTATCTTGAATATGTATATGGTAAATTGAGTCCCATTTTTGTGTATCTGTCCTTGATCCAGTAAATCAATTGACAAGCTGAATGGGATCAAGGTGATTATTTAAGACCATGCATAAGGCTCCTTGGAGTATATAGTAAAGAAGCACTTTGTACTTGAAGAGGTTTTTGTACTGTGCTCTAAGCATCGTATGCTCTTATGATCACTTGTTTGAACCTTACACATTTATGGATTTGTGATCTTCTTGTTATCATTCTTGGCAGGCTGGTGCGTTTGAAGGCTCTGTTTTCACCCATTCTGATGTGAAGCCTGGAATGTTGGTGACAGCTAAGGTTATTGCAGTAGATAGCTTCGGTGCGATTGTGCAATTTTCAAGTGGCGTCAAGGCACTTTGTCCTCTTCCGCACATGTCTGAGTTTGAAATTGTTAAGCCTTCTAAGAAATTTCAGGTTATTTGATCTCTTTCTTTTGTTTTTATTTCAATCATATACTTTTGGAGGTTCAATTAGTTCACAGTTCTTGACTTCCTATAACTGTATTCCTTTGCAGGTTGGAGCTGAGTTAATTTTTCGTGTGCTGGGGTGCAAGTCAAAGAGAATAACTGTTACACATAAAAAGACTCTTGTAAGTCAAAGAGAATAACTGTTATACCTTCTAAGAATAACTTCCTATAACTGTATTCCTTTCTTTCTTTTGCAAGCAAAGTACACTTAGTTACGCCGTAGACAATTATTTTTGTTCAATTCACAAATAACTATCCAGCAGTAGGCAGACCCTCGAAAACTATACTCTGGTGTACAAAGTTAAATGCAAAAGTGTTGTATTTATAATGTATACTCATCAATATACTTTCTAAAAGCTTACAAAATGACAATTTTTTAGAACTAATAGGAGCTTAGATTTAGTAGTTATGGACAAATGTCGGGCAGAAAACTAGATTCATGGATCCTCCAGAGTATTTTTGGTGGTTCACACAGCTGTTTGACATCTTCATTTCTCGATCCTGTAACCCTTGGTTTTGTATATTTTTCGAAGATTTTTAGCTAGTATTCTTATTTTTGAAGAAGATTAATCCTTTTGGTGAATTCAGGTGAAATCAAAGCTTCCAGTGATTGCATCATACGCTGATGCTTCTGAAGGTTTAATTACTCATGGATGGATCACAAACATTGAAAATCATGGCTGTTTTGTGAGATTTTATAACGGGGTGCAGGGCTTTGCTCACAGGCTAGTGCTTCTACTTCTACTTTCCATCTTTCGTAATTATGTTCGTTTCCAAATTCTGGAAGCTTATCTGAGCTTTTTTTTGGTAAAGTTGTCTCTGCTTTTTTTTGGCCACCTGAAAGCAAAATAGCAGTCTTTCTATTCATTTTCTACTGTGTTCCACAGTTTCTGGCTTGAGTTTGTCTTATTAATACATATTTTCGACATGTATCTGTATTAATATTTCTATATATATTTTGGACCCTTCTTTCCCCAATTTTGATGCTGCTTTCAAATGCTGATTCAGTGCTTGTCCATATACTTAGACAGGGAAAGGAGGCTTGTTGATGTCTCCCTTCTGTTGGAATTGTCTGTGTGGTTGCTTGCATTTGCCTTATTTTGATTGATCTTGAAGAGTGAAAGTGGAAGATTAAAAGGCCCTGTTAAATCGTTTCACTGTAGTCTTATGAACTACTTTCGAGCTCGGATACATTTATTGACACATCTCCTTCTCTTCCTCACAATCAAAGAAAGATGAACCTCACCTTCTTTCAGAGTAAAAGAGGGAAGGAGTATGACCAGCTGATTAGTGGCAATATCCTTTGACCTTTATCACTATGCGGAAAATTGATGAAACTTTTCTCTTTTCCTGAAATGAGAGTCAATCACCTTCTTTAGCGGGATGAATGATTTATGTTATTACCTTATTTTGATTCACGAACTCATAACACGAAGTGATCATGTTTTGGTACTACATTTCCTTTCACATGTTCTTCTTGATTTACTTCATGTTTTTTTTTCTGTTGCATTGATATTTTAATATTTTCTCAGATCTGAGCTTGGATTGGAGCCAGGAGTTGAAGCAAATGCAGTGTATCACATTGGCCAAGTTATGAAATGTAGGATTGTCAGTTCATCGCATGTTTTAAGGAGGATCAGTATTAGCTTCGTGCTTTCTCCGAAAAGGTCATTTTCTTCTAAAAATGTATTGTACTTCACGTTATATAACCACTGCTTTGTATATGTTTGGGAACAAAATGATTTGTACTTCTCCTTGTTGTATTGAATCATTCTTTTTATATATTTTTCATCTCAAGTAAATGCAGTAAACTCGAAACTGTGGCCATTTTTGAAATTATCTTTTTATGTATACAATAGAAAATGACTACTACATCCATGCTTCTTCCTATCTATTTTATCTACGGTTGCAACAATTATAAAAGTATACTTACTTATTGAGTTACCTACCTATCTATTTATCTATCTATATAGTTATATACGTGGGTTCTATTGGATGTATGATTTTTTTCTATGCGTTTAGTTTTTTTTTCTTTCAATGTGTGATTTATTTCTACAAATCCTCTTAGTGTCTATTATGTCATTGGGTGATGCTCTTTTGTGATTCTGTTTGCAGGGTTGCTCATGATGTTAGCATTAAGTTGGGAAGCATTGTGTCTGGTGTTGTTGAGCGTCTCACTCCTGGAGCAGTCATAATTAATGTGAAAGCAGATGGTTATGTGAAAGGGAAATTGTATGATGAGCATTTGTCAGATCATCAATGTAAGTTTCTTCTTGTACTAATTAGTTTTATGCTGTTCTTTTGATCAACTTCGTGATCTAGTTCAGTTGATCTCCTATTCATATTTTCAGGGCATGCTTCCTTGATGAAGTCTTTGTTAAAACCAGGATATGAATTTGATGAACTCCTGGTGCTAGGTAGGACCCCTTTTTTCCTTAAATTTTATGAATCCTTCAGTTGAGGTTGCTGATTTCATGAGATCGGCAAGAATGCTGTGTGCATCATAAACCATGTTATGTTTCATAGTTGTAGGTGTTCACAATTGTTGTTACATCATGATTGTCTGATTAACGTAACAATTTGGAGAATGATACCTTGGTCTTGAGCCATTGCTTGATTTTGTGCATCCAAGATTATGGAGGATGTGCATTATAAACTCCTGTAATGGTTCGATTATTTTTTTGTGGTAAAATTTTGTTTTTGAAAGTGTATGGAAGGTTGTGATGAACACAGCTTGCCTATGGTCTATGTTCATGACACTTTATGTATGCCATGTGGAAAATTCGTATGACTTTTTTTTGATGAAGTGTACTTTTTGTTAATGTTCTGATTATGTTGCAAACTTCTTTGAAATTCATCACCTTGTTGTCATTTTATTTACTGTGTGTAGATCATGTTATTTGTATTCAAGCACGTGCTTTAGTATGCAACAGGATTGTGCTCCATAAATTGTTCAACTTTGTGAGATCTTTTCTTCGTTTTCATTTTCTAATCAATATTTAACTTTGGAAAGTTGAATGATGATGGATTAAATGGTTTTCATTTTTTTCTCGAATATCCATGACAATGTATTTTATTCAAGGAATTTATTAAATATGTTGCTCACCTGCGGATAACCAATTCATATTCTCAAATCAGAATTGCAAGTCAGTTCATTGTAGCTATTTCTAGGTGTGTACTTCTTGTATTCCATTGTTTATCTAAGTGGGTTTTCGGAGAGTCGTTTATGTTTTTCGTACAGCATATACTTCTGTTGTCAATGTCCCAATACTTCAGCATACTGCGTATTTCTGTGTATATAGATTTGTTATAGTTTCTGTCTGATCTAGGTTTATATCAGATTGCCACTGGTCAATTCGGATATGTGCGCAAATGCAGCAAAGCACTTCTGCTTTCTCTTTCTTTTATCTTTCGTTTACCCTGTTTCCTTAGCTTTTGGATTAGCCGGAATTGATGATTTTTCGTGCCGAGTTAGAACTGTTGGGAGGTTGTTTTTCCATCTGATAAAAACAATGATTTACCTTGTTTCATTAGTTGTTCCTATCTTGCTGATCTGTGATTTTTTTTCAATTTACAGATAATGGTGATAGCAGTAATTTAATTCTTTCGGCCAAATACTCCCTTATTAATTGTTCCCAGGAGCTTCCTTCAGAATTGGCGAATGTTCATCCTGATTCAGTGATTCATGTCAGTGACTTCTTGTCTTCTCTTTTGGCTACCACTTTGCAACTAGAAATCATGTTCGGTTCCATATCAGGTTTGCTGTTCCTTAGTTAGCTCTTCTCACTAATGCCATTGACGACAGGGATACATCTGCAATGTGATCAAGAATGGTTGTTTTGTCCGCTTCCTTGGGCGGCTCACTGGATTCTGTTCCCAAAATAAGGTAATATTTTATGGTTTCCATATATTTTATCTTTCCTTTTATTTGTTTTATTTTGAGTGTTCACTTCAATATTCAAACTGAACTCGTCTAGGTGATCAGATAAGAACAACAGCAGCATGTTGCCTTCCTAATTTGACTATTGATCCAGCTTATTCTAGTTATTTCCAGTTTTAGTTGTAAAAATGCGTATTGAAATCTATGATATTTTAATCATTGGCCTATTTTTCAAAAGTGTTTTTATATGATCACAATTGTTTCTCTGAAGGTTTCAGATGAACATATCAGTGACCCCTCTGATGCATTTTACGTTGGACAGTCAGTTCGTAGTTATGTTATCAATGTAAGGAAACTCAAGTCCCTGAGTGAAAACTTTTGATTATTTCCTTCAAATCATATGAGATTATCATTCTTATATGTAGTATGGTCTCTTATCTTCCAGGTAAATAATGAGACTGAAAGAATAGCACTCTCATTGAAGCAGTCCTCTTGCTTTTCAAGGGACCCAACTTTTCTTCACAGCTATTTTCTTATGGAGAAAAAGGCAAGCAACTTTTCTATTTTATAGTTTTAACATTTGCTCGCGGCTCTGTATCAAGATGGAAAACCATCTTACTTTTCGACTCAGTTTAGTCAACAATGCTAGATTGTCTCGTTTTCCTAACCAATTGTCCAATTTTTCATGGTGAGAATGATTTGATGCCATTAACTTTTATCTCAGACTGTTGCTCCGTCGGATCTCTTCATCTTGTTTATATCCACTCTGGCATTTATAGATATCAACGTCATACTGAAGAAAAGAGTGATCACATTGACAATTTGTTTTCTAATAACCTGATTCAAAATGCCATATCAGAGGTGAAGTTGTCCGTGTTTGATTTTTCGCGATGACTTAATTGATTAATGTTTTGCAAAGTTATGAAATTGCCAGATTTTCATGGTAATTTTTTTTTTGAGGGCGCATTTGGCTGAGTTTCAAGCACGGTCCGTGGTTCAACACTTCTAAAAGAAATCCTTATGATATTGCGCCATTGAATTGTGGACGATTTTGGTTTCATGTGTAGTTGTCGTCTTAGAATTTTAGGCCATTATAATTGGGAGTATGCTATGTTATTTTCCTGGCGGGATAAAACTTAGATTATGCTATGGTAAGTCATAATGTAAAACTCGAGCTCACAATGGCTAGGTTCTGTTGAGTCCTTGCTCTGATTAGATCATGAAAACTTGGTTCTGTCTGGGTCCACATTGTTTTACTATTGGTTAGCATTTTGTTGCCGAACTTCTATTGGGGTATTTATAATAATAATTGTGCTGGTTTTCGTTGCTGCTGCTTTTCAGCTAACCATTTGGCCTTGTCGTTCATGAAATATTATTTAATAGAGTACTTCAAACGAATTTTATTTCCCCTCAAGACGATCAAGAGATTCTATGATCAGTCTCTGTCTATCTTTTTCTTTTATGTGAAAAGTTGTTTAGATCGATAGGTAGTGAAGGTAATCGCACATCATATTTTTCTTTCTTTTGGGCAGACATGTCATCTAGGAGTCATGCCTTAGTCAGCTCGTTGACTGATTGTTTCCCATGATAACATCTTGATATTCCTTTATCAAACTTTCTTTTGCTTTTGTACGTAGGGTGTTAAGTTTATTCAGTTTTTTGAGGTTGCGTGCTTGTGGGAAGATACCTTCTAATCTGGAAGTTTTTTTTTCTACCAACGAACTAGTCTCATGGAAAGTAACTTCTGATTTTTTGGCGCTTACCATCACTTTGTGAAGTCGTTATACTGAGCAATCAATGAGAAGTAATCCATCTCCTTTATTGTATGGTTGTCTGGTAGTGAAACCTAGGAGTCTTTGTGTTACGGGCCTCTTGAGATTTGGGGCGAAATCTTCACCCTAATCTTACCTTAGACGAGGCTTACTTAGGGAATCAGCTCTCTGTTGTGTAGAAGAATCAGACTGAACAATTGAAAATGGAAATTGGAAAGACAATAGAGGTTCGCAGACAGTAGGATAAGTTCCTGAGGTTGGATCGATCCTTAGGAACAAGAGAGCCCGAATCGGACCTCTCCAGGGACAGATTCCCTCTCCACTCCCTGTTTTCTCCTCTCTTCTTATTTCGGCGTCTTCTATATTTACAGGCCTCAGTACACTATTCTGTTGTGGTCCCCCCTCCACGTGGGGGTCTAGGTCGTCTTGTGTAGATGACGGTTGGCTTCGCAACATTACTCCCCCCATGAGTTTCACCTTGTCCACAAGGTGAGATGTAGGAAATTGTCGAAGGAATGTTGATACTGTCATCCATAACGATTCAAACTCTCAGAGATGTTTCCATGAAACTAATATCTCTGTGTCTTGAGGAGTCGACTTGTGAACTTTTGTGCCATCTGGAATTAGTATCCATTCTTGTTTTTCTGATAATGTTGGGGGAATTGGTTGGCTTCTGTTGTCTGTTCTTAGTGTCTTCTTGAGCTGGGATATATGGAACACCAGATGAACAGCTGAATGGTCGGGCAATTGGAGTTTATATGCCACTGGTCCAATTCTTTCCATAATAGGATATGGACCAAAATAGTGAGGGTTTAACTTCTCGTTTTCCTTTTATTGCTAGAGATTTCATCGGATATGATTTGATCTTGAGGAAGACCAAATCACCCGCCTCTAATTCCACTTCTCGACGATGTTTGTCTGTATTAAATTCATCCTCACTTGTGCCTCCTGCAAGTTGAATTTCAGAATCTTAAGGATAGCATATCATTCCGTGAGTAATTGATTGATGACATCAAGTGGTGAAGGAGATGTTCCATATTTGATAAGTTTCAGCGGGTCCCTGCCATATACTGCACGAAAAGGAGTCATTTTAGTGGAAGAATGATAGGAAGTATTGTAACTATATTCTGCCCAATGAAGTCATAATTTTCATTGCTTCGGTTTATCAAATATTGCACATCTCAAGTAATTTTCTAAGCACCTGTTGATGACTTCGGTCTGTCCATCTGTTTGAGGGTGGTAAGAGGAGCTGAATTTGAGTTCAGTTCCCTGAAGTGTGTGTAGTTCACGCCAAAATGTACTTAAGAATATTCGTCCCCTGTTGGAGACCACTGTCTTTAGAAACCTATGGAGCCCTACGATTTCCTTAATGAATAATTGAGCGACCTCCTTGACTGAGAGTGGATGATGTAGAGCAATGAAATGACTGTACTTGTTTAATCTATCCACTACTACTAATATGACATTTGACCCATATGATTTAGGTAAGCCTTCAATACAATCCATTGAAAGGTCTTCCCATATTTGGGTAGGTATATGCAATGGTTGTAGAAGTCCCACTGTAAGCAAGTAGGGCAATTGTTGATATATGCCTTTATATCTCTCTTCATTCCTTGCCAATGAAATTGTTGCGAAATTCTATGATGTCTTCTGAAACACAGAATGACCCCCCACCGAGCTGTCATGAAATAATTGTAACACATTGGTAATTAAAGGGGAATGTGTTGGTAGAACCAACCTTTCTCTATATAGCAAGGATCCATCTTTCAAAGAATATAATTCGTTTATTGTATCTCCTTTAGACAAGGAAGTTTTAATCTCTGCAAGTTGTCTCTTGGTCCACTGCTAGTCAGACAGCTTTGAGATCAATGGCGTGATGTGCTATTGTCTCATTTAGTTCAGCTTGCAGTAATAATGGACATCAGGATAATGGATCTGCGGCTTGATTGTTCTTCCCTTCCTTATATTTAATTTCAAAACTATAGCCCATCAATTTCACCAACCATTTACGATATTCAGCATGAATTTTCTTCTGTTCAAGTAAGAATTTTAGACTGTACTAGTCTGATTTGATGATAAAATGCTGATACATAAGATAATGTCTCCATTTCCTTACTGCCAACATTACACCCATCAACTCCCGTTCATAGGCCGATTTCAATTTGGCTTTTCTTGGAAGTGCTTGACTGAAATAAGCTATCGGACGCCCTTGTTGCAAGAGAATGGCCCCAACACCTGATCCAGAAGCATCAGTTTTCACGATAAATTCTTGTGAAAAATTTGGTAATGTTATACTGGAACCATAGTCATTGCTTGTTTAAGGGTAGAGAAAGCTGCTTGTGCTTCTTGTGACCAATAGAATGCATCTTTTCTTAATAATTGTGTTAGTGGCCATGCAATTAAAGCATAGTTGGTAATAAATTTTCTGTAATATCCAGTGAGCCCTAGGAACCCACGGAGTTTCTTAAGATTTCTAGCAATTGGCCAACTAGTCATGGTAGACATCTTCTCTTTATCGACTTCTACTCCTGTCGACACCCAATGCCCAAAATACTCTTGTTTGCTTTCTTCAAATCTGCATTTCTTGGCATTAATATGAAGAGAATTTGTCGAGAGAATGGAAAATACCTTCCTCATATGCTGCAGGTGTTCAGCCATTGTGATGCTATACACAAGTATATCATCAAACAAAACCAGTATGAATCGCCTTAATTGACATTGAAATATTTGGTTCATAAGCGATTGAAAGGTTGCAGGTGCATTCGATAATCCAAAAGGCATTAATTTAAATTCACAATGGCCATGATGAGTTTTGAATGCTGTCTTAGGTACATCTTCTTTTTTCATTCTGATCTGATAATATCCTAATTTTAAATCCAATTTTGAAAAAACTGATTTCCCATATAATTCATCTAGCAGCTCACTCAGAAGTTTTAGAAAAATCAGTCTTAGGTACATTTATGTGTTTTTACAGAGTTTTGAAAAAACTGATTTCATTCTGACCGTTTTTCAAGCTGACCTCACTCAGAAGGTTTTCCCAAACAAATTTTACCTTTAGTTGGCCATCATGGCAGAAGTTTTTGCTTGTCACTAAGCCTTTGGAAAATATTGAGCATATAAAAGAAAGAATCTGTTAAATGTGCAGACATCGTTTTGGTCCAAGTACAGTGTGATGAGACAACCGAAGTAACACGTGAAAAATAAAAAGGGATATGAATACAGAGTTCTTGTTATAGAGTTCATTGGTCAATGGTTCTTATTCCACTGTTCCAGTCATCAATGGCCTGTCCAAAACGTTTGACAGATCCTGTATAGGATAAGTCGAGATGACAAATATTCACTATTTTGCAGAAATTGTCATAGTTAGAGTATACTTTAAGGTAAAGTTTTCCAATTATATTAGAAAAACAAAACGCCAGTCATTTTGTGTTTGTTTTATATTTCTTTACTGGTGCTTATCATTATTTTCTGATGATTAATGAGAAGCTATTTGATGTATGATGTATTGTTTTTTATTCTTCTCTTCTTGACTTTGTGCTTTTTCATCCATCAGATTGCTAAGCTGCAAATACAGAAATCCATCAATTCTGGTTTGATGGAAGCTGATAAATTCAGTGTTGGCAGTTTTGTTGAGGGGGAGGTTCAGGATTTGAAGGACTATGGTGTTGTCCTTGGTTTCAAAGATCACGATGCTGTTGGTTTTGTCTCACAGTACCAGTGTAATCTCTTCATCTATTGATTGGCTTTTCTTCTTGATGCAAATTGTGGTTTGAGATTTTCTTAGCAGAGTGTTAATGATGACTTGGTTCCGTATGCCTCATGTAGTAGGTGGAAGAATGGTGGAAAAAGGTTCACGTGTAAAAGCTTTGGTCTTAGATATTTCCTTGTCAGACAACCTCGTCGATTTATCACTTAAAGAGGGTTTTCTTAGTAAGGTGGATATTTCCATGGGCATCCATATTTTATTTGTAAATCATTGTGGTTGTTAACTGGGTTCTTCTGTTTTCTTATGCAGAAACGTCGAAGAGAATCCTTTATGGACTTGCAGCTGCACCAAACAGTCGAGGGAATTGTGGAGATTGTGAAAGAGAACTACATGGCATGGAGTTTTTATTTATATGTTCCCATATTTTTACTTTAGTAGCTTTTGTGTGATACGTTTTGCTAATTTTTTGCTACTCTTCCTGTCAAATGCAGGTGCTTTCAATACCGGCATGTAACTATGCCATAGGTTTTGCATCTATAATTGATTATAACACGCAGAAACTCCCATGCTCCAATTTCGTGAATGGTCAGAGGTAAGCCATGTTAAATCTCTTTTGCTTAATGATACTGATTTCGTGTTGTGTTGGGATTTTTCTTGATTCGAGTGAGAAAGATGTAAAAGTGAGTTCCTGATGTTATCTGTTCTTCATAAAACACTTTGGTTGAAGCTTAGTGTCGTCATGGTCTGCAAAGAGGACATATCCTCTAACGATCAGCTGACTGAGTTTGAAAGCATTTCTCACTGATAAGTTTTAACGAGAAAAATTTAATACTCCGTTCAATCAAAATAAGTAAGACGATTTTCGTCCATGACTTGATTTGGTGTGGTTGGTTCTTTAGAACTTCTTGAAAATTTCTTTCCCCGCTGCTGTGGTGCTGAAACGGTAAAATGGGAAAGATGGAGGAAGAAAAGGAATAAAGATCATCATATTCTCCACTCCCTTTGTTTTCTTTTCCTTTCTTCTCTTGACTTCTATCCTGCTGTTCATGCCAGCAACTCCCTGTGAGTTGCTGGCATGAATTATGGGGCCATCAGTGCCTTCAAACAGGTTGAACAAGGATCACGGCCTACGGTTAAATGGATTTCGCTCTATTAACATTCACACATAAATTGTACTGATTTTTCCTTTTTCAATAAAAACACTGTATTAAGAGTTATAGTTTGGTTTTTTTTATTTTTGTAGTTTTCGACCATGTCTGACTTTTGCCTGTTTTTTTTGACTTTCTGATCGATTCTTGATTGGGCTTGGTTGATCTAGATTCCTGATCCTGTGATGATTTGCCCTGTCATATCACTTGTATAAGAACTAGCTTACATTGTTTGGCAGTGCTAGGTTAGGTTTACCTGAAATAGCTGTTTATCTCTAGGTCTGAGTTCGTCCAATGATACTGTGTGTTTTATGTGAATAATGTTATTGGTTTATTGGTTTATGTGGATGATACTGTGTGGTTTATGTGAATCATCTTATTCGTCCAATGATACTTCATTGTGCTTTGACTGACTTTGCAGAAGTTGATCTCACCTGGCAGAACTGAAATCAGCTGCCTTGCGTTAACTTTAATTGAGACAACTGTTTAATTATATCATTTGATCGAAGTACACTAGGGAAAAGAAATGTGCTGTACTCGTTTGAGTCATTTAACTTACAAAAGAACCGGAAGTTGAAGGAGAAGTGAGACAGCGAAAAATGTCATATTTGGAGTCGTGTACTTGAAAAAATAGGAAAAAATAACTGTTGTGTTTGATTGATGTAGAATATTATTTCTTACTTACAGTGTTTAGCTCAATACCAGTTGTTTCCTTGGAACTGTTTTTTTGCAGTGTTAGTGCTACTGTTGCAGCACTACCAGGTCCTTCAACTTTAGGGCGACTTTTGCTGCTGCTGAAATCCATGAGTGCAGTTTCAGAGCTTTCATCTAAACGGGCACAAGAAGGTTCTAGCTACTCTGTGGGGTCACTTGTTGATGCAGAGGTAATTCTTTTCTTTTCTTGAAATTGCCCGTGTTATGATGTTTACTACAATTGAGACTTACCTCAATGATATACCACGAATTATTGCTTATTTTTGTTTCCTGTATTCAGATTACTGAAATAAAGCCCCTCGAGGTTCATTTAAACCTTGGTGGTAGTTGCCGCGGAAGAATTCATGTAACAGAGGTTTGTCTTATGTTTTTTTTCGTTTTTTTTACGATCGGCTATTTGTTACTTGCCATTTCTTCAATCGCACTATTACTGCTCTAGATAAATGTTTGTCTGATTTGTTTTTTTTTATTAGGTCTTTGATGATAAAGTCTCGATGGAGAATCCATTTAGTTCTTTAAGAGTTGGACAAATACTTAGAGCACGAATAGTTGCAAAGAATCAACATTCAATCAAATCCAGAAAAGGAGGCCGGTGGGAGCTGTCTCTTAGACCGTCTTTGCTTGCAGGTAAAAGAAAAGAAGAAAGAAAACACTTGCACTTCTGCATGCGCGTTATCCACAAATGTTAATTTTTTGCATTTCTTTAAAGATTAGCTATAAAATCTGCATTGGTTTTCTTTTCTTGATGTTCTGTTAGAGACATTTACTGCCCATTATTGATTGGGCAAATTTTTTATTTATTGGGTTCCATATCCTGAATTGTATCCCACCTAATACTTTCATAGGTTCCTGTTTTGATCTTTGTGAGCAGCTTCTTTGATGGGAACCAAGTTCCAACAGAAAAAATAAAATTGCTTACCTGACGTCCTATATTAGTCTTAAAGCTTAGTTGCAATAAATTATGTTGGAAATCTGGCGTATCAGTAGGAAGTTTCTTCCCTCCTGGAATTATCTTGGGGGGGACATGGGAAATGTGGAATCAGTTTTCCGGTGTCAACTGTGGATGGAATATCTAATGCCTTTGGTCCCTTGGTGGTAAATTTAAGCTGAGCCAAGGTTGGTTTGTCAGAGGTGTTCTAGGCGAGAAGAATAGCATAGGAAATGGAGTGTGATGAGGAGGATCCTCAAGTATGTCGAGCTGGATTCCTTTATGATTGTGGAGGTAGTTAATGGCCTGCTGACAGCAGTTGTGCTGGTTTTTCTGAGGCATGAGATGAATGTTGACAACATGCGAATGATACTCTAGTAATGTGATGGAATCTGAATGTGTGGAATGGAGATGTGGATGTCTGAATTGAATCCAGTCATGTTATTCCCGAACTTCACCTTACAATTTTGAGGCGTTTATTTGGATGGTCACCAAGTCCATCTCTCACGAAATTGTAGGTCTGCGGTATAATAATACCATTATAAAGAGATGATGTTACATCAGGATTTTGGGTGGGAAACCTGAATTGCTCACGCCGAATACAAGGAAACCATAGTGAACCTCTAGCTAGTCTGCACAGTTCATTCACTACTGTGTATTTTACAGTTTCGTGGTAGTGTAGTGATGTTGGAGAAAAGTTCAAACCGACCAAAAGCATGCTCAAGAGGAAGCAAAAAAAAGAAAAAAAAAGGAAAACCTTGCATGAGCTTTTTAAGACTCTCCTCTTGAACTCCTCCAGCTTCCAGTCTCTCTATTGGCGTCCTAGAAGCCCTTAAGTACCTCTCCTCAAGTTGCTGCCTATCTCATTGCTATCCTTCATCTCTCTCTCTCTCTCTCTCTCTCTCTCTCTCTCTCTCTATCAAGATGCATTTGAAGGAATGATTTTATTCTCAACTCAAAGCTTATGCTGTGTAGTGGTAGTTCCTGTACTTGCTATTTATTCATGTGTAAAGTATAAATGAATCCGAATAGGTGACCGTCTGAAACACGGAGAGAATAAAATTTTCACATGGTGTCCGTAGAGTTGCCTTGACAAGATTTTTTAATAAATACTATCTAAAGATCTTTCATTTTATTAACTGTTGGTTGTAATCAAATGTTCTTGTTGGAGTTCTCGAGTAACTTATAAATAATATTGTGAAACCAGAAGCATTTAGATTGCTGGGCATTTCTGTGTTTTGTCCATCTGTTTGTTCATGTATGCCATCGACTACTTGTGTTTGTCTCACAAATTTTCCAATGACAGTTTCTTCTTCACCTTACATGTATTCCTTTTTTATTTTGTATTTTTTTTTAATATGCTGTTGAATATTGTACTCAGAGCTCGAAGAACCTCATGACTCTCCTACTGTTGAGGAATCCAAATTTTCAGTTGGTGAAATAGTCATGGGTTATGTCGTTAAGGTGGAGAGCGAGTGGTTACGGCTAACAGTATCACGGCAATTCATGGCAAAGATGTTTATTCTGGACACTTCTTCTGAACCGAATGAACTTATGGAATTTGAAAACCGTTATCATGTGGGGCAGCCTGTGTCTGGTCGTGTTCTCAGTATTAGTGAACCAAAGAAGTTGTTGTGGGTAACTTCACTTCGATCGTCTGACTCAAATAGTGGTAGCGCTGTTTCATTAGACAATCCCAAAGAATCAGTTTCAGGTGACTCAGGCACCGAGCACATGCACGAAGGTGACATTGTGGGGGGAAGAATCAAGAAGATACTCCCTGGTGTTGGTGGGATTTTCGTACAGATCGGACCTCACCTATGTGGAAGGGTTCATTTTACCGAGCTTACTGATCAGTGGATATCCGACCCGCTCTCAGGTTATACGGAGGGTCAATTTGTCAAATGTAAAGTCTTGGAAATAAGCCGTCTTATGTCTGTACACGTGGATTTATCTTTGCGCCCTTCCTTACTAAGCCCCGGATCACCTCTCTCTGTAGAAGGGCAAGATAGTCTGTAAGTTATATGCTCGTTTTCTCTTTCCTTCTTGCAAGTTTGAACTTTTATTGCCAAGTAGTTGACGCAGTACCCTCCCTGCCTTATAATGGTTTGGATCTTGTATGAATTCTTATGTCATCTCGTGGTTTCTGAAGCTTTTTCCCTTCTCCAATGGCAATTCGTGCATTTTTTATTTAATTTCACTTTGGAGAAACGACTGAAGCATAGCAACAAATACGTGCATGCACTCACACATAATACTTTGCTGTTATTCCTGAATGTTAACAGTGCATGTATTTTCATTTTTATTTCGTGAATGCGATGCATATCTTATGTGTCGTTTTGTTTGTCTTAATTCTCCAGTTGCCCTTGGCGTGTGTTCGAGTGATTATATTTCCGTTTCAAAGCTAGACTAGCTCCATGAAAATCTGACCTTTTGGTTTCTGCATCTCTGGAACTATTTTGGATTTTATTTATCATTCATTTTTGTGTTTTGGGTAGAACAGATCAAGGCTTGATTTATTTGAGTGCTGCCTATTTTATTCGAGTCTGGATGCATAAATCTCAATTCTTATTCTACAACGTGCTTTCTTTAAATCGGTACTTATTTTGTTTGAGTGCCACCCCAATCACAGTTCCAGTATTCATGACTAGACATTGTTTACCCTTTTTTTATTAGATTTTCTGTTATTTTTATGTAGGGACTCTGCTTATAAACGATTCGCTGATACCAAAGAACTTCAGCCAAATATGCCCGTCCAGGTACATTAGTTTATTGATAATAAATACCTGTTTGTTATTTATATATTTTAGTTGTCAGACTTTTAACAATTTTCTGTCCTTCTATCGCTAAAAATTTCTCCATAATATACAGGGCCTCTGAAACTCTAATGTTTTTAAGTTTCTACAAAAAAAATTGCTTTTCGGCATCTGATATCGATTCATATTAGTAAGTTGTCTGAGTACAATTTGGCTAATATTACTCTAAATGTGAAGTCATATTTTCACATTCGTTTCTGTGATATTCGTTCGTTTGTGAGGATTCGGCCGTTGTTAATTGTTGTTATTCAGTTGCTGAGCCATATATTTACTCTAACATATGACTAGAAATGGTATTAATACTTGCAATAGTTGCTATTTCTCTCTTATCTCTATCTTTCCCATTAATTTGAACTCTAGTGACGTTTCTTGGTTGACCTTTTTTCAAAGTTGACTGAGAAATATTTCTACAATAGTATATGTCATTTGATAGTGAGATTAGATTAACTGCAATAATGTCCACCGTTTTTGGGCTCGAATGACATGGGCTGTGGACTCAAGTTATATATGCATTATGTAAGTGGTTTGGGTCTTTTGGAAGATTGTGATGGCATCTGGAGCTGCTGCGGCTAAACCAGGATTAGGGGCAGTAATTTGTGGTGGTTAAATCTCATGCTGTCATTAGAAAAGGGGGAGCACTAGGTTTGTAGACAGTGATTTTGATACCTGTTTGATATAGCATTGGAATCCTCTCATACGAAAGCGTTTGGTATCTGGATAATGATAAAAAAAGTAGTCCATGAAGTTTAATTATCAATGAGGTCAAATTGAAGAACACACATCTTACCAAGCATTATAGTATGAGCTCTTAGAGATTATTCTGAGACATTGGTGTATTGAACCATTTGATTCTGCTGAATTAGCACGCATGTTATGTGTTTATTTTTCATTTCCTTTGGTGCCTTCATTATTTACAGCAAACACACCAAACAGTAGATCCTGCTGGATTTCATGCTCGTTTTCACTTTGTACTTTTAGGTTATAAAACGCTCCTAACATTTGCTATGTTTTAGGGTTATATCAAGGGTGTCACACCTAAAGGATGCTTCGTTACTCTTTCGCGGAAAATTGATGCCAGAATACTTATATCGAACTTGTCTGATGGTTATGTTGAGAAACCTGAAGTTGAGTTTCATGTTGGAAAGCTGATAAATGGAAAGTAAGTGCTCATAAATTTTTATTTTTACGTTTCCATATTCGCTGAATAACGTATAAATTTCCTCAGGGTGCTATCTGTCGATGTTTCATCTAAGAGAGTTGACTTAACACTGAAATCAGAGGCTGGAACAGGACCCTCAAAGTGTAGTTTATCTGATTTCAAGGGCTTACATGTTGGTGACGTTATATCTGGAAAAATTAAGAGGATTGAACCATATGGTTTATTTATCACAATTGCCAACTCTAACATGGTAAACATGTCATACTTTTCTCTCCCTTCACTAATTTTTCATCCTGTGTTCTAATTCCATTTCCTTCTGATAGGTGGGTTTATGCCATATATCAGAATTACCTGATACTAACAGCGAAGACATACGGACAAAATATATGGTGGGTGATAGTGCATCAGCGAAAATTTTGAAGGTAAACTTATTTTTACTTCTAGTTTGCAATGCACCCCTCAAGTTGCTTCGTCTCAGGCTTGGATTTGATCTGTTCTCTTCTACATTCTGGAGCCTTAGATGAAGTGGCCTGGATTTGATCTCTTTGTGCCTGATTTTGGTGAATCTTATGTCAGGTGGACATTGAGAGAAGGAGATTATCATTGGGAATGAAGAACATCGACTCCGAGGATGACAACAGTGCTCCCACTGTTTCACAAATCGATGAGAAGGAAACCGGTTCAAGTGACAATGGTCTTGTCATCATGCAGCAAAATAGCAGTCTGACTTCTACTGATGATATATATGGTGAATTATCCACTGCTGCATGCCCAAACCTTGAGCAAGTCAAGACAAGGGCTTATGTTCCTCCACTAGAGGTCGTGTTTGACGATGATAATGATGATTCCGATGTGGACAATGGCCTACGGGGAAGCCAAGAAGCTGTTTCTGACCAGAGTTTAGCTTCTAAAAAGAGCAGCAGACAGTTGAAGAGGAGAGAGAGGGAGGAGAGGTATGTCTGTCTTCCAGTATTATCTATCTAAAGCTGCTTCCGAGTTATGTAAATGTGATTTATTGTTGTGGATTGCGTGGCGCAGGGAAGCTGAGATTTCTGCCTCTGAACAAAGGAGACTGCAGCAGGACGTTCCAAGGACGGAAGACGAGTTTGAGAGACTTGTGAGGAGCTCGCCAAATAGCAGCTTCCTATGGATCAAGTACATGGCCTTCATGCTGTCCCTGGCTGATGTAGAGAAGGCCCGCTCTATTGCCGAGAGGTCAGCTCCAAACTTTCTGACCTCCATAACTATTTGCTCCATATAATGTCTTCCTCTCTTTCTCCTCCCCTCCCCCCCCCCTCTCTCTCTCTCTCTCTCTGTCTGATGGGTCGTGCATTTTTCTAGGGCGCTGAAGACGATAAATATCAGGGACGAAGATGAAAAGCTGAATATTTGGGTGGCCTATTTCAATCTAGAGAACGAATATGGAAACCCGCCAGAGGTGAGTGAAGACTTCCAACTATTATGCTCTTCGTCGTAATGATCCTCAGAACGCCGCTTGACTGTCTTGGAGGCTTTCATCAGGACGCTGTGAAGAAGATGTTCAAGAGAGCCTTGCAGTATTGTGATCCCAAGAAACTGCATCTGGCTCTCCTGGGGATGTACGAGAGGACTGACCAGCACAAGCTGGCCGACGAGCTTCTCGAAAAAATGGTGAAAAAATTCAAGAACTCGTGCAAGGTATTCATCATCATCGTGAACATTATCTAACCATTACTTCAGCTTTTCAGAATGCCCTCCATCAAAGATAGTTTGATTGCCTTTTCCGTTCATGGGCCGTTGACTTTGAGGTTGATGCTGAAAATCCATCTGCTTTCCACGTCAGTGGTTCTTCCTAGTTTTAGTAATCTCGTTGATATGAAAAGGTTAATGTATGGGGTTTTACCCCCTTTCTTTCCCAAAAATTCTTCAAATAATCAGTTTTATTCACGGGGGAAAATGACAGCCGTGGCACCCCTTACCATTACTTCAGCTTTTCAGAATGCCCTCCATCAAAGATAGTTTGATCGACCTTTTCCGTTCATGGGCCGTTGACTTTGAGGTTGACGCTGAAAATCCACCTGCTCTGCACGTCGATGGCTCTTCCTAGTTATAGTAATCAAATCGTTGATATGAAGACGTTAATGCATGGGGTTTTACTCCCATTCTTTCCCAAAATTTCTTCAGATAACCATTTTTTATTCACTGGGGAAAATGAAAAGTGTGGCTGCCTCAAGAATTACGTGAGCTTTTTAGAATGCCCTCCATCAAAGAGAGTTTGTTTGACCGTTTGCATTCATTGGCCTTTGACTTTGAAGTTGATGCTGAAAATCCACCTGCTCTCCACGTCGATGGCTCTTCCTAGTTATAGTAATCAAATCGTTGATATGAAAACGTTAATGCATGTGTGTTTTTACCCCATTCTTTCCCAAAAATCTTCAAGTAACCTTTTTTATTTCAATGGGGGAAAATGAAAGGTGTGGCTCCATCGCCTGCAAAGCTTTTTGAGACAGCAGAAGGAAGGAGTTCAGTCGGTCGTGAACCGGGCCCTCTTAAGCCTCCCCCGCAAGAAGCACATCAAGTTCATCTCGCAGGCTGCCATCCAGGAATTCAAGTTCGGCGAGCCCGACAGGGGCCGTTCCATGCTGGAAGGCGTCCTGAGGGAGTACCCAAAGAGGACCGACCTGTGGAGCATCTACCTCGATCAGGTAATCATCACCTCACGTCCTAAACTTTATTGAAAATGTCAATCACTGAGCATATATATATGTATATGGGCATAAATGCTGAGGTTTTCTGATTCTCACGATAGTAACAACCACAATAATTCAGGAGATCCGCCTCGGGGATGTGGACGTGACCCGGGCTCTGTTCGAGAGGGCCACCTGTTTAAGCCTGCCCCCAAAGAAAATGAAGGTATATGATTTTCTTAATCTGGTGTCTGAAACCAATCTCTTCCAGACTTCTGAACTTTTACCAATTCTAGCCAGAATTATTATTATTTTTTCTCGTTTATGTTCCCTATCTGGTAAAAAGAATAGAAGAAAATGTGGCTCATATCATTTTCTTGATTTTCTAGCAAGAATTAAGATTATGTGTTCTCTTTTATTTTGCCTGATCTGGGTCTGCCGTTATTTCTTATTCTGGAAAGTTAAAATAAAATAAAATAAAATAAAATGAGCGTAAATTTCATTTTCTTGATTTTCTTAATCTGGTGTCTTGATTTGAAGGCCCGATCCTGGGAAACCAATCTCTGCCAGATTTCTGGGTTTTTGTGAATTGTAGAGAGAATTTAGATTTTCTTGATTTTGTCGTTATTTTTTCTTCTGGTAAAAAAAAAATAGAGAAGAAAATGATGGTAATATCATTTTCTTTGATTTTATTGATTTTCTTGTGTTATCTTTTATTTTGCCTGATCTGGGTCTGTCGTAATTTTTTTCCTTTGCAGTAATTAGGAAAAAAAGAGAAAATATTAAAAATCAGAATCATTTCATCTGTCATTGCCCCTGAAGCTCTTCCCCAGCTCTTAAGTTCCTCTCTGTCCTCGCAGTTTCTGTTCAAGAAATACCTTCAGTTTGAGAAATCCCTCGGCGGCGGCGGCGGCGAGAGGGTCGAGTACGTGAAGAACAAGGCACTAGAGTATGTGGAGAGCTCCCAGGCCTAGATCCCTCCTCTTGGAATGCTCCATTCAACGGACGGCGGAGATTCGCCACTAATCCGATCCTGCGGTCCTGAGTACACCAATTTTGAAAGGTATTTATCGCATATATCGCCTAGATTTCGGACTGCTTCTCTCTCTCTCTCTCTCTCTCTCTCTCTCTCTCTCTCTCTCTCTCTCTCTCTCTCTCTCTCTGTGGGCTTGCGAGCACTGTAAGTGATCAAACAAAGAGCATGAGAGGAGGGCAGATAAAACCGTAAGCTCCCCGCTTCCTATTTCTGTGGAGTCTGATAATCACTACGCAGATCCGAATTATATGCCCTCCATCCATTAATATGTATCCATTCCATTTATTTCCGCAATTTCTCCCTTTTTTCCCCAAATATGATTGTATTTTTCTTATTTATTTTATCTGTATTTCATTCATTGCCAACGTCCTATCGTTATTATTGCCATTTTATTTTATTATTATTATTAGGATAATCAATCGTGGGTCAATTTTATTTTTTTTATGGATCGATCAAACCGTGTGGGGGCCTAATTAATATGGAGATTGCTAGCGGTTGATGTTGCCATTAGATTTGGTTCATTTATGATACTGGGGCCCAGGCCCGAAGTTGTTGACCTTTTTGACTTTTACAGTATTGGACCTGGTCTAAGAAGGTGTACTCATCCTAGAAGCCCAGGCCTGCTTCGTAGTTGACTTTCTGTGCCGCTACCTTCTCCTCTGGGCGTTGACTTTTTGCGCCAGCTTCGTGGCCGACTGCCGCGGATCTCGGCTGAACCACCCGGGTTAAAAGAACTGAAGCGGTTGGCGAGCATGAGGCCCAGGCCAGGTTCGTAGTTGACTATCTGTGGTACCACCTTCTCCTCTGGGCGTTGACTTAATGGGCCAGCTTCGTAGCCGTCGGTACCGGGGGTCTCGGCTGAACCGTCCGGTTTAAAGAAACCGAAACGGTAGGCGGCCATGAGGCCCAGGCCCGTCCCAAAAAATGCGGCCCTTTTTGCGCATTTGGCCTACTTACTCAGAAGAAGTAAGGTTAAAACGGCGGGCTCATACACAAGGGTAAAATAATCTTTCCGTCTCTCTGAAAAATAGCCGCCGAACAACACTACGGATGTGCGGGGTGATAAAAGAAATACTTAGAATATGAGGCCTTTTAAGAAAATGGGAAACGCTTTGGGATATTTCTGGAAAGAGTCCTTGATTTTCTGTGGCCTTTGGGGTCGGTGCGCAGAAATTTTCGCATAACAAAAGATGGGGCCCACTCTCCCCCCCCCCGTTATCTTCTTCCCGCTCGGTGGGCCCTCCACGCTCCTTTGGGGAATCATCTCTTCCCCCGCCCCCCCCTTCCTTTCCAACCCTAGCAGCCGGGGAGAAACCAGGTATAAAAAACGCTGGAACTCTTGGGCCCTTGGAACCAGTCGCTGTGCTTCGCTGTGGTCTCTTCTTTCTCGTGTTCCTCCGGCCGCTTATCCATCCACAAAACCCTAAATAATCAGGCGGGGGAAGTGGGAGGGGAAGGGATCGGGGTTGAGGTCGATGGAGCAGCAGCAGCAGTTGGCGGTGGTGCTGGGGCCGGATCCGGCGCCCTTCGAAGCCCTGGTGTCGCAGCTCATGTCCTCAGGGAACGAGCAGCGGTCTCAGGCGGAGGCGTTGTTCAATCTTTGCCGCGACCACCACCCGGAGACGCTTGTCGTACGGCTCGCTCATTTCTTGCACTCCTCGGCGCACCACGAGGTCCGCGCCATGTGCGCCGTCCTCCTCCGGAAGCAGCTTACGTCCACGGGGGACATCTGGGGGCGGCTCGCACCGTCTACCCAGTCCGACCTTAAGTCCGTCCTCCTCGCCTCTGTGCAGCGGGAGGAGGTCAAGTCGATATCCAAGAAGCTGTGTGACACCGTTGCGGAGCTTGCTTCCATCCTCCTCCCTGACAACGCCTGGCCGGAGTTCCTCCCCTTCATGTTCCAATCCGTTACCGCGGACTCGCCGCGCATCCAGGAGTCGTCCCTTCTTATATTCTCGCAGCTCGCTCAATACATCGGTGACATCCTTCTTCCACACCTCTCGACCCTCCACTCCGTCTTCCTCACTTGTCTTTCCTCGGCGACCGCCGTCCCTGATGTTCGCATTGCCGCTCTTGGAGCATCTATCAATTTTATCCAGTGCCTCCCCTCCTCCAGTGACCGTGACCGTTTCCAGGACCTTCTCCCTGCCATGATGCTTACTCTCACTGAGGCTTTGAATTCTGGGCAGGAGGCCACTGCGCAGGAGGCGCTTGAGCTTCTCATTGAACTTGCCGGTACTGAACCAAAGTTCCTTCGCCGACAGCTGGTGGAAGTTGTGGGTTCCATGCTACAGATTGCCGAGGCCGAAAGTCTTGAGGAGGGTACTAGGCACCTTGCTGTTGAATTTATCATTACCCTTGCAGAGGCTCGGGAGCGAGCCCCTGGGATGATTCGCCGGCTGCCTCAGTTTGTGGGTCGTCTCTTTGCTGTCCTGATCAAGATGTTGTTGGACATTGAGGATGATCAGGCCTGGCACAGTGCAGAGACGGAGGATGAGGATGCAGGGGAGACCAGCAATTACAGCATGGGTCAGGAATGTCTGGACCGTCTCTCAATTGCACTTGGAGGTAACACCATAGTTCCCGTTGCCTCTGAGGTGCTCCCTGCGTTCCTCTCTGCTCCGGAATGGCAGAAGCACCATGCTGCGTTAATTACCCTGGCACAGATAGCAGAGGGTTGCTCAAAGGTAATTATCACATGCCAATGTTATTTGATAATTTTTTACCCTATGATTGATATTGTCACGCATCGAGTGTCCTCTTTAACAAGACTGTTTCTCGTTCCCATTTCGTTTTATGAAAGCAACAAGTATGCTACCATTGAGGAGAGCTATCTTATGTGTAAAGAGAAACGCTTAAATGAATTTTGACGAAAGAAAAATTACCGTAGATGCCGTAAGAAAATCTATGGGTTCGTATTCAACAATTTTTCTGACTTTTCACTGATGGATGGCTGATGTTATTTGGCTTATTTGCCTTACCACTGGTCTCACTATTTGACTTTTCTTTAAAAGAGGAGTTACCGTGCATGTTCTCACGCAGGTCATGATAAAAAACCTGGAGCAAGTGGTTTCAATGGTTTTGAACTCATTTCAAGATCCTCATCCCCGTGTGAGGTGGGCAGCAATTAATGCCATCGGGCAGTTATCCACGGATTTAGGCCCTGATTTGCAAAATCTGTATCATCTTCGTGTCTTACCTGCTCTAGCGTCAGCAATGGATGACTTCCAGAATCCACGTGTACAGGTAGATACCTAAGTTGTATATTCTGTGCTATTGACCTCCGCTTACAATTCTCATTCTTGTACTCTTGAATTGATTAATTCTATTTTTGCAAAAATGGAGCACGATCGTTCCCTAAAGAATTTACACTGCCACGGCAATAGAATGTTAGCTGTGTTATTTAAAATATCTCATTTTTTATTAAAGCGTGATGTAAATACGTGTAAGGTCGGCACATAATTATTATTTCTGATCTCAAATCCATACGGTTTTGGATTATTTTGTGATCGTCATCATGTCTAAATTTGAATATTTATATAAATAGAAAATCTCTGTAATTTTCTTTTATGGGGTTCACTATAGGGATCAGTCAACATATGAAAAAAGATTGGACTTCCACTGAAGGAGACATATAGCAGCAAGAAGGGCATATGACTGGGTGACTTATATGCAGCAGTATAATAACTGATTATGTAAAACCGCTGTACAAGAGAGCATGGATATTACTATCAGGGGGAAAAAGCTGTAAGCTCGTTTGTGACGGCATATACATCTATCATGAAGTCGTGCTGAATCACCTAAGACATGTTCATTACTTTTGTCGGGATTTTACTAGAGAAAGACAATGAATAGAATTTTAAGTGCTAGATAAATGGATCATATATGAATATTAAATGATGGAATAAGATTCACTAATAAAAGGGATTTTCATATAGAATTAAGAGCGCAAACTGATTGAGAAAAAATGTTTACAGGATATAATATTTTCCATTAAGATTTTTTTTCTTAGTTTCTTCAAAGCACGGGGCTCTGATACCAAATAACACAGTCAACAATACTATGTGCCTGTTTTTTGCTTCCTGTCTTTGTGCAATTACTGTGCCTGTTTGTCATGATTGATGTGCATTTTTTCTTCCGTTATTTTTACAGGCCCATGCTGCTTCAGCAGTTTTGAATTTCACTGAGAACTGTACTCCGGAAATTTTGACTCCATACTTGGATGGCCTCGTTGGTAAATTGCTTGTACTGCTCCAGGTACGCCTTTTCCTTTTTATAACACACGCAATGCGTTTGCTGCAACTTGTAATTACGATTTGTACGAAAGAGTTGAAAATTGACTGGGAAAATGCATTACTAATTGTTAAATCGTTGTCACTCAGAATGGAAAGCAGATGGTCCAAGAGGCAGCATTGACAGCCTTGGCATCAGTAGCGGATTCATCTCAGGTAGTTGTAGTCTCTTTGGTGGATTTATTTATTGTTTATTCGGCATCATTCTGATCCATTTGTGTGTTATTATATGACTGCCCAGGAGCATTTTCAGAAGTATTATGATGCTGTCATGCCTTACTTGAAGAGTATTTTGATGACTGCAACTGACAAGCCTAAGCGAATGCTTCGTGCCAAGTCCATGGAGTGCATAAGCTTAGTTGGTATGGCTGTGGGGAAGGAGAAGTTCAGAGATGATGCTAAGCAGGTAAGCTATATTTTTTTATTCGTTTCTTCTCGGTGCTTGGTTGGAGCTCTTTAAGGTTTTAATCCTACCTCCTAATCAATCTTAAAATTGCAAGTATACTTGGACAAATTGAGGAGTTTGGAATGATTGTGTTATTATTAGATTGCAGAGCAAGCGTACAGCTTGAATTAAATGATCTCACTACCCAACAGGTTCATATTTGTGGTTTCATAATATGCTCGGTTTTTTGCATCGCATTTCTATTTGCGCGCAGTTACAAGTCATGCTGAAATTTCCTATGTACAAAAAAGGTAGTATATTTTCAGTGTTTTTTACGGGGTACAAAATAAATGACCAGGAACTGTAACTGTAACTGTGGTGGCATGATCCATGCAAGGTATTTTAGAATTTTTCTGATTTCTTCTTTTTAGGCATATGGCGTTCAGCCCGTTTTCATCTCTGTTATCCTGATCCTCTATTACTTCTTCCTGTCTTCTTCTTTTATCTGTTTACCCTCACTCAGCTTTCTTGTCCCCATATTCTGCCTGATACTTATTTTCTGGACCTTGATGTGCTTCTCTGGTTCAGTTTACTGCTCTCACATCGCTAGTGCCAGGCAATGAGGACTTTGAGACATAGGTGCACCTCCATGTGTATCAGAATGATCACGCTCATAGACATAGGTCCTTTTTCTTGGCCATTCTTGAATACTTTCAACAGGTAGCGGCTAGGACATCTATTGTAACTTAGTGGTCATTCCATCATTTTGATGGAAAGTAATTGGAAAGCGGGAATAAAATAGTTGTGTCATGCTACAACCACGGCTTCATATGTACTATGGCCATGAAAAATTTGTTGCGTTTATTCCACCTATTGAATTGGTTTTAATGCAGAACAGTGGCTTTCTGATTTCTACTATTTGACTGATAATGACTAGTGTGTTTGGGTTTAGCTGATCATTCTGTATTAACATGTCAGTAACATTTCTGTTAATGATTACATCAGGTCATGGACGTCTTGATGACGTTGCAAGGATCTCAGCTGGAGACTGATGACCCAACGACAAGTTACATGCTACAAGTATGTTTAGATCCTTAACTCTTTAGTGAAAAGTGTAATCTTGACCATTTTAATGCTCTAACCTATTATGTTCTTCTGTAGGCGTGGGCCAGGCTATGCAAGTGCTTGGGCCAGGATTTCCTTCCTTACATGAGTGTCGTTATGCCTCCATTGCTTCTGTCTGCACAGCTTAAGCCGGACGTTACAATCACATCAGCAGATTCGGATGATGATATTGATGAATCAGACGATGAAAGGTATGCGCTAAATTTATGATTACTCATTGTCGGATCATTGAGAAATGGCTGTTTATTTTAATAAGTATTTACTGTTTTCTGTCTACCATTTCACCAGAAACATCCTATTAAACTAATTTTAAATTCACTATTTGGCTATAATTTTTATCTTGGGACTATGGCTTGAAATTTTTTGTACAGTGTCATTACCTTTGCCGTTTCTAAATTTCTGATGATAACAGAGCTTGAGCTGTTGGTTGTCTGGGCCCTGTTTTGGCAAAAGCAGCAAGAAGAAAATCTACCCATAATGAAAGCACCTGTAGATAGAAGCCATTTCTCGACTGGTGGACTCATCCTCAATGCCGTTTAGGCCCCCCAGTTCAGTCGCCCGACTAGAGGGACTGAGAAATTAATAGAGTACAAAACTTATCTTCAAGCTTTACCTTATTCTGATCGTTCAGAGGGGGATGCTTTGTTGGGTGTGGATTGAGTGGTAGCAGTTTAGTAAGGGCATGGCTTATGGCAGGGTAAGTCAGCCCTTTGATCGGTGAGAGCTTTATCCAGGAGCTCGTAGTTGAAGTTCCTCCCAGTCTTAACTTAACTTACATACCCACTCAGCATTCTTTTAAAACAATCGAATCGAGTTCCCGTGCAACGACAGTATCGACCCCTTACCATTCTCGCTCAGTGTTTTGAGCGTTGAGGGAATTATGCCACACTTCAGTATGTAGCATGGGCACTGAGCCAAGCTCATTGCCATATTTAAGGATTCAATGTGCTGTTGTCGTCGAGAAAGCACGAAAGGCTGCCTCATCCCTGATCACAACATTAATGAACAACAGTTTTATGAATGGTTATCTTGATTACAAACCGTCAGATATATCGCACCTGATACTTTTTGATATAGGGAAGTTCCGCTCGAAGTTCAATATGAATCTTTTGGTACCTACCATGAAATTTGTAGACACCATTTAATAATCCTTATGTAGACAAAATACCAGTGCATTAAGTCGTACTACAGGAGTGATACCAAACTTCTAATAGGTAGGGGCAGATGTAAGCCAAGGGGATCAAGGAAGCATGTTGTGAAACCACGGCTTAATTTCCCGTCGTTCGCCTTATATAAAAGTGTTGTGGTCATTTATTATTTTTCTTCTCGTCAGTTCACTCTGTAAGATGAGGTTACTCTTGACGGTGGGCTTGATTCCTCATGTTTCTTGATTGGAGATGTAGAGACATGTGAAATAGCTTTTGGTCCCAGCGTTTGTCCTATATATTCGTTCACTTGTCTACACTGGGCAAGCCTGGTCTTCTCTCGCTTCTTAATTGTCAAGTTATTGTTTATGTGAACTACAGCGAAGACATTTAGGAGAATAACTGAAACTTTTTAGAGAATACAATCAACACTCACTAAGTTATGAGATGAAATATCGCAGAACACAACTGAAGATTGTTGTAGTAGTATTTTGACTTGATGTGGGAACTGTCATCTAGGATTTCTATAAGCGCATGTCAAATGTTTTCTCTAGCTATTTGCCTTTGGCAGGTTTGCGCACTGTGTCCACTAAGTTGTCTTCTATTAGCGCTATTTCTGTGGATGAAGAACCTGAGTATTACTTTGTTTTAATTTGTTGTTCTATTTCAGCATTGAAACCATTACTCTCGGAGATAAGAGAATAGGAATCAAGACCAGCGTTCTGGAGGAGAAAGCGACGGCGTGTAACATGCTTTGCTGCTATGCTGATGAGCTCAAGGAGGGTTTCTACCCATGGATCGATCAGGTTTGTTATCATCAATCCGTAGGCCCTGTTTGTCCTCCAGTTATTTGAAAGTGGATGGTGCCGCTTAATAGTGACAATAAATGCAGGTTGCTCCTACTTTAGTGCCTCTTCTCAAGTTTTATTTTCATGAAGATGTTCGGAAAGCTGCTGTTTCTGGTATAATTTTTTTTATTTTATTCTCTCTTTGCTATTCTTTGAAGAGACGTAATATACTAATAAAATTTATATGCTCAATGTAGCAATGCCTGAGCTGCTTCGTTCAGCTAAGTTAGCTGTGGAAAAGGGACAGGCTCAAGGTCGTGACCAGACATATGTAAAGCAGCTATCTGACTATATTATTCCAGCCCTGGTTGAGGCACTGCATAAGGTTGATCTTTTCGGACTGCACATCCTTTGTGTACCAAACATATTTCATATGCTGACAGTTTTTCTTTTTTTGGCAAATAGGAGCCTGAGACAGAGATTTGCATGAGCATGTTGGATGCATTGAATGAATGCATGCAGGTTTCTCTCTCCTTCCTCTCTCTCCCTCTCTCTCTCTTTCTGCTGGGTTTCTGATTATCATATCATAATTTTGCTGGCATATTAGAACATGGAAACTATAAATCTTAACGGGTGCTTTGTCAAACAACGTAGTTTTCTCCCGTACTTTTTCCTCTAGTTTACAACTCTTTCCAGGCTGAATCCATCTTCAACTAGTATCTTTCTACTTAATGACCGGACATGCACGGCCTAAAAGCTACCAGATTACAGCGAGCCTTACCATTTTGTCCAGCTAATTCTTGACTGGTTCCAACCCAACTTTATCGGTAAAGGAAAAGGAAGAGCATTCAACCTTTCTGAAACTCTCTCGATCATACCTCAATCCGAGACTACGTTGAAACTCCAGCACAAATTTCATACCGTGGGTGTTTGTGTTGATATGTTTTCTAATGCGACCGGCTGGCTAAAGTTGATAGATAGTCCATTCATTTCATGCCATGGAGATATCTCTGAATGCCACAAATCAGGTTTATGCCGTTTCAGATCTTCCATCGGCGCATTTGATTGATTGATGATATCTTGTCCGGATTGCGTAGCATCTGAACTTATTTTCATCAATTATGAGTCTCATTAACTCCGTTTTTTGGGTTTCAATGTGACTTCTTTCTTGGGTTTCAATGTTCCTTGGCATGACCATTAAAGGAGGACAGCTGCATATCACAGTACTCAGCCTTTTTCCGCTCCTCCTTTTTCAGGTTTCTGGGCCGCTTCTCAGCGAAGCACAAGTACGATGCATTGTTGATGAGATAAAACACGTGATCACTGCGAGCACGACCAGAAAGAAAGAAAGGGCGGACAGGACCAAAGCTGAGGACTTTGACGCCGAAGAGGGAGAGCTTCTCAGGGAAGAAAACGAGCAAGAAGAAGAAATCTTCGAGCAAGTACGTTATATGAACACTCCACAATCTGTGGGAGCCTAATCTGGGCATCCATCCCGGTTGCGAGAATCTTCCATATATCATAAGATGGTCATGTGCTTGTCCTCTGGTGTTGTTCTTACATCTGATAATAATTCATCTCAAGGTTGGAGAATGCTTGGGCACCTTGATCAAAACATTCAAATCTTCCTTCCTTCCCTTCTTTGACGAGGTTTCTATCTTTCTGACTCCTATGTGGGTGAGTTCTTCTTCAAACCCTCTCTCTCAAACCCACCCTTTTCGTTCACAGCTTTCTCCTTATGACTCATCAATTCTGCATAATTTTCACCGCTCTTTGTCATCAAAGGGTAAGGACAAGACGGCTGAGGAGAGGAGGATCGCCATCTGCATTTTTGACGACGTCGCAGAGCAGTGTAGAGAGGCCGCTCTCAAGTATGTAACTTCGTTTTAGATAATTTTCCTCAGAGTTCGGACCTCTGATCCAGATTTCTCCCCTGACAAATTACCATATTTGTGTATGTTTGTTCTACAGATACTATGACACCTATCTACCCTTCTTATTGGAGGCATCCAATGATGATAATCCAGATGTCCGTCAGGTCTGTTCTTGACCCCTGTACCCTCTTCTAAAAGATATCTATATATATATAATATAATATGCCTACTGATTTAATTATTTTTTGATCCCCAGGCTGCTGTTTATGGTATTGGAGTTTGTGCCGAGTTTGGCGGATCTGTCTTCAGACCTCTTGTCGGAGGTGGGTTCGAAATCTTTTTTTTTTTTTTTTGGTTCGTACCAGAATATTCTGAAAAAATGCACTGGGCGTTGACTTCTTTACAGAGGCCCTCTCTAGGCTGAATGCCGTTATAAGGCAGCCCAATGCGCTCCAATCAGATAATGTAATGGCATTCGATAATGCTGTCTCCGCTTTGGGGAAGGTTTGCCAGTTCCATCGCGAGAACATCGATGGAGCCCAGGTTATATTGACTCCTCCCTCCCTCATGAACTTCAGCTTCTCTCTCTCTCTATATATATGTGGACATTTTCTTATTTTTGTATCTATTGTGGGTTTCTATACTGGGGAGTTTGGGGGGAGGGGGGTTGACATGAAAAAATATTGAAAGCCCGCTTCGTATTTCTCCAGATCCTTCCAGTGTGGCTGAACTGCCTGCCAATCAAAGGCGATCTGATCGAGGCCAAGGTTGTGCACGAACAACTCTGTTTGATGGTCGAAAGGTAACCCCATCCTACTCGGCCTGTTTGACTTGACAGTTAGCAAATAATTTTTCTTTGTTATATGTGGATGAATCAACCCCGTTGTTGCGGAAAAATACTGCAGATCGGACAGAGATCTTCTTGGCCCCAACAACCAGAATCTCCCCAAGATCGTGGGAGTGTTCACCGAGGTACACGCCTCCCCCTTCAAAAGCTTTTACCCTTTTTGGTAGATCTCTCCATGGTAGACAAAATCTACCACCTCCATTTAAGAGATAAGGGCCGTTGACTTCTTGATATCTGCTAGATCTCACTATGATGGTCGATCACTACATTTGATCAACAAATCTACCACACATTTTCCCATCCGAATTTAAGTAAGATTCGAAGGGAAGAGAAGAGGAGGGAGGGGGATGGGGACGACAGTTGCTTCCCCTTTTCCTGTCAGTACCTCTTATTGAGTCCGGCTGTGAGCCGTTGACTTTTTATCTGTGCAGGTATTGTGCGGCGGCAAGGACCTAGCGACGGAGCAGACAACAAGCAGGATGGTCAGCCTCTTGCGGCAGCTGCAGCAGACCCTGCCCCCGGCCGTGCTCGCCTCCACCTGGTCCTCCCTCCAGCCCCAGCAGCAGCTCGCCCTTCAGTCAGTCCTCTCATCCTAGGCCATCGCTGCCGCCACCGCCACCGCCGCGGCTGCAGCCGCAGCCGCTCCCTTCAGCTTGGGAAACAGTCAGTCCTCTCATCGTAGCCCGCCGCCGCCGCCACTCCCTCACACTCCCTCCTTCGTCCACCTGCTATGGCCATCGTCGTCGTCGTCGTCGTCATCATCATTATTATTATTATTACCCATTCTTTGGTAGATGCATTAAATTCCCTTGTCTGGGGATATCATTCTCCACAACAGTTGGCGGCACTCTCTACTAGCCCCTCAGGTTGCTGGCGGCGGTGGCGGGGGTGCCGCATGGGTTTTGACATACATATAGAGTGTGTAAAGTCAGCGTCTGCGATTTGTAATCAGTCCCCTGAATCTCCCAGCCCCTCCGAAAAAGGAACAGCGAGAAATGAGAAGTATGAGGAAAGAAAAAAACCGCCGCCTGTCAAGAATATTGGGTGTTCTTTCTAGCGGCCCGTCCAGAGAATGAAAGTTTAAAGAGCTGCTCTCTCTCTCTCTCTACAAGGCCCGCCTCATCATCATCCGCGTTGAACCCTTCTAGAGAAAACTGGGTAATATTTCTCGCAGCCCTTCAAGAGAGAAAGTTTTGAAAGTTGCTCTCTCTCTCTCTCTCTCTCTCTCTCTCTCTCTCTCTCTCTCTCTTTCTCTCTCTCCAAGATCAGTACCCGCCTTTCTCGTCGGACACGTATGTCTAGAGAACAAAATTGGGTTTTATTTCTTGCAGTTCGTCTAGAGAAGGAAGGTTTAAACTCTCTCTCTCTCTCTCTCTCTCTCTCTCTCTACACAAGACGAGCAGGCCGTCTTCCTCGTTGTACCCGTCTAGGGAAGAAAGCTGGGTGCTGTACTTTCTCGCAGCCCGTCCAAAAGAGGAAAGAGTAAAGTTTAAGCGGCTGCTCTCTCTCTCTACAAGAAATCTAGTAGTAATCTGATTCGGGTTCGTCATCGTCCTCGTCGTCGGCGGCGATCTCCTCGTAGTCTTTCTCGAGGGCGGCGAGGTCCTCCCGAGCTTCGGAGAACTCCCCCTCCTCCATCCCCTCTCCCACGAACCAGTGCACGAACGCCCTCTTCGCGTACATGAGATCGAACTTCCTGTTGATCCTCCCGAACACCTCCCCCACCGCTGTGTTGTTGCTCACCATGCACACCGCCCTCCTCACCCCCGCCATGTCCCCCCCTTCCACCACTGCCGGCGCCTGGTAGTTTATCCCGCACTTGAACCCCGTCGGACACCTGTAGAGAGAGAAAGAGAGTGTGAGACAGTGAGAAACGCCGGAAAGCGAGAGAGATAAAGCAGGAATCTTGAGAGAGAGAGAGAGAGAGAGAGAGAAATGCCGTACAAGAAGAAGAAGAAGATACTGCCACTTACCAGTCGACGAAGCGGATGGAGCGGCGGGAGCGGAGGCCGGCGATGGCGGAGTTGACGTCCTTGGGGACGACGTCGCCGCGGTACATGAGGCAGCAGGCGACGTACTTCCCGCGGCGCGGGTCAACGGTGGCCATCATGTTCTGCGGGTCGAAGGCGGCGGCGGTGATCTCCGGCACGGAGAACTGCTCGTGGAAGGCCCTCCGGGCGGAGACGGCGGGGGCGTAGGAGCAGAGCATGAAGTGGACCCGCGGGTAAGGGACGAGATTGGTCTGGAACTCGGAGAGGTCAACGTTGAGGGGGCCGTCGAAGCGGAGGGAGGCGGTGAGGGAGGAGACCAGCTGGGCCACGAGCCGGTTGAGGTTGCGGTAGGTGGGGCGCTCCACGTCCAGGGAACGGCGGCAGATGTCGTAGATGGCCTCGTTGTCCAGCACCGCCGTCACGTCCGCGTGGTCCAGCAGCGCGTGCGTTGACAGCACGCTGTTGTACGGCTCCACCACCGCCGTTGACACCTGAACAGTTGACCACACCATCATAATAATGATAATGATAATTATATTATTGTTATTATTATTTTGTTATGGTGATGATGAAGACGGTGGCCTCTTAGGTCCCTTTTTTTTTCTTTTACTTGGAAGGGAAAAGTAGAACGATTATAACATGATAATAATAACATAATCATCGTAATAATCTCATTATGATACTTAATTATGATTATTTCATTTTAAATTAATTATCAAGAAAAAAATGGAGAGAATTACGATAAAAGGAAAAGAGGGCATGGACAAATAAATAAATTTTTGTGCAATCAAGTTTCAAAAAAATTAGAAGAACGAGTCTAATTAGAAAGGAGAGAGAGAGAGAGAGAAACATGGCCCAATAATAGAAATAATAATAATAATCTTAATATCTGTATTATTAATATATTATGATGACAAAGTTAATGACCTTTTAAGATCCCATTTTACTTTCTTTTTTTTTGACTTGCGAAGGGAAATTGAGATGCCCACCTGTGGGGAAGGGTAGATAGTGAAGCCGAGCTTTGACTTCTTGCCGTAATCCAGGGTCAACTGCTCCAAGAGCAGAGAGCCCAGTCCGGACCCTGTTCCTCCTCCCAAGGCGTGGAAGACTAGGAATCCCTGTAAGCCTGTGCAGTTTTCCGCCAATTTGCGCAGCCGCTCGAGGCAGAGGTCAACCATGTCCCTCCCCACTGCAGCAGCCGGCGGAGGGAAGTCAACGCCGGGATCCGAAGACCAGATAGTGGAGAGAGAGAGAGAGAGAGAGAGAGAGAGAGAGAGAGAGGGGGGGGGAGAGGTAAACGGGGAAGGATGGGAGGAATTCTCACCGGTGTAATGGCCGCGGGCGAAGTTGTTGGCGGCGTCTTCCTGGCCGGAGAGGAGCTGCTCGGGGTGGAAGAGGCGGCGGTAGTCGCCCGTTCTGACTTGGTCCACCACGGTGGGCTCGAGGTCAATGAAGAGGGCCCGTGGGACATGCTTTCCGGCGCCGGTCTCGCTGAAGAAGGTGTTGAAGGCGTCCCGGGCGACTCCCTCCGACCCATCGCTGCGACCACAAAGGGATCTCAATCAAACCCGAGAGAGAGACAGAGAGTTCCAAACGATTCTGAGGGCAGGCCGAGTGGAAAATTCCATGAAGAAAAGGGAAGATGTTCTCGAGATTGGGCTTTCCAACCCTAAACACCCGGTTTGACGCAGAGAGAGAGAGAGAGTGGGAAATTCCACAGAATTGGAGGGGACAATCGCCGGCAACAGCCCAGCGGAGGCTTCCATGGAAGAGGGAATTCTCCGGGTGATCGTTTCTCTCTAGATACATAGATAGTTAAAGAGGGAGATAGAGATTTCAGATATCCGCAGAATTAGAGACAGTCACCGGCATCAACTCAGACGGGTGAAAAGCAAACTCAAAGAAGAGGGAATTCTCTGGATAGTCGTTTCTCTCTAGATATATAGATACATAGATAGTTAGCGAGAGAGAGAGAGAGAGAGAGAGAGAGAGAGAGAGGGAGGGAGAGAGAGAACCTGGCCATGATCCCGTCCGGCTGGATGCCATGTTCGATGCAGTAGAGCTCCCAGCATGAGTTCCCCAGCTGAACACCCGCCTGCCCTATGTGGATGCTTATCACCTCCCTCATCCCTTACCTTCCTCCTCTCTCTCTCTCTCTCACAGACCCGATGAAGGACGAAGAACGCTGACCAACTGACCACCCTCCACGGCGGCGCTCGCTTAAAGCCAACCCAGCCGGCGCCGCCGCCCCTCAGCCGGCATCCCATCGCTTTTGCGGCGCGGCAACTTGCACGGCCTGACGTTGACTTTTCTTCTCCTACAATGGACCGGGCCAGGGGGAAAAAGCCTGCCGGCCACGTAAAAGGGCCTTCGGGCCCGAATATTGCGAGGGGGGAGGAGGTGGGCCTGTATCTATCCACGGGCCTGATTCTCGGCCCGGCCCGTTGACACCTGTATGGGAACGTGGGGCCCGCTGACCGGCTCGTCTTGGACAACGATGACTCACCGGACGGTAAGGATGGAGGAGATGCCAAAGCCTTTGTTGGAAAGTCAATTCAAGGGAGGCTGTATTTATGGTGGGCCCCACGCGATTAGGCTACCCACTTCAGCTTTCCAGACCGGCAAACACCGGACTTATGGGGGAAAAAATAAAAATAAACCCCCCACTTGTGACTGAACTTTACGAGGTTAGACAGTTGGCGTTGACGGCACATTTACTTTACTCCACCCTAACGATAATGATTAACCAAAAGAATCTAACTCAATTTGGGCCTTAATTGGGCCGACAGGCCCAAAATGTCAGCTTTTCAGAGCTCAGAATATGACTAGAAAAAACCCCGTGAAGAAAGATTGGTCCAGGCATGGTTCGTATTGGGCTGATGGCCCGAGCTGTTATTGGGCTGTCAGGATAAGCCCATAAATATTTGTCCTCATTTCTCTCTCTATATTTAAACCGACTTTTTTAAATTGGCATGGATATCATCATAAACAAAAGCTTTATTTGTTAAAAAAAATACAGTTAATAATTTCCCTTTATCCTAACTCTCTCCAAATTTTACTTCATAATTGAAGTTACAGATGTATTTATCAAAGTTTTCGCGAGGAAATAGTGAAAACCTTGTCCTTGCATGTTTGCTACTCTCTCTCTCTCTCTCTCTCTCTCTCTCTCTCTCTCGCTATGAATCAGCAAGAGTACTCTGATGGAGGGATTTCTCTTTCATGTGATGTAAACCCATAGATGATTTGGAGAAGTCATAACTTCAAAATCTGTAGATAAAAATAATTTTTTGAATAAAATAATAAATTATGTATTCTTCCGTCTAGGAGCATATATGATTTAAGCGATCAGTAATTCATCAAGGAGAAGTTTAGGGTCTTATTGGCTTCGATCCAGACATGATATCGGAAGCAATCTAAGAAAGGAACCAGAGAAGAAGATCCTCTCCCTCAAAATGCTTCGAGACCTTGCTCTGCGCCTCCGTCTGAGCCAGATGCTAAGCCGAAATAGGGAGAAGATACTACTCCCCACTAATAGCATCCGGTTATTCAAGAGGCGATCAACACAGTGACGCGGATAAACCCTAAACCTCGCAGATCTCACAGAACCAAGCAGTATCGTATCATTCAGTCAATATTCAGAAAAATATCGACAGAAATTGAGCAAATAAGAAGATGCTAATGATATATAGAACAGCATCCAAGGAGAAAAAATTCGAAGCGGCTGATCGATCGGATAGAAATCTTGAAATAGCAGAGCGATGAAAGAGGGAATGTCTAAGGCTGCTTGGAGGACGCTATATGGTGACGAACAGAGCCCCCTCAAAAAGGCCTGAGGAAGAAGAACGCCGTGATCAACGACCACAAAGATCCTCCCATCGATGCCCGCCCCCTAACTAAGCCAAGCATGGTATGGGCGCCTGAGATGGTGAAGACCACCGAACCAGAAGCACCGTGTGGCTACTCATGGGGGCGCATCAGCTTCAAATCTACCCTAGAATGGCAAGCAAGAGCTGGAAGGAGAGCGAGAGAGAGAGAGAGGATGGCGGAGCAGATCAGGAGAGGAGGTGGAGATGGAGGGAGAACGACGAAGAAGACGGAAGTGCGGGAAAATCTAGGTTAGAGTTCACATGTTCGACTATATAGAAGCGGATTTCGATGTGATGCTCCGCCGGAACACCCAAATTCACACTTTCTCTTTCCGTGAGACGCCTTCGGAAGGAGAAACAGAATGAAGATGGCGTAGATAGTAATATTTTGTCAGGATTATTATAAATAGAAAATTGAATGAGATTTTCGCCCACCTACTTTCCGCTTTAATACACAAATAATGAGAAATATAGAATTTAATAATTCCCATTATGCGTTGGCAGCAGGTCTATGGGCCCTTCTAGCTGTTGGACTGCATCTTCCTATGTAAGGGGCATTATGGGCCGCTTCAACCCAAAAATCAATATGGCCCAATATTCATGCGACCCAAGTTCCGAGCCCATATTGGGCCAGACAGAGCCTGTTTCTTTGGGCTAGTTGGGCTTCTGCGGCCCAACGGACACAACAAGAAGGTCGAATCTTCAGAAGTTGACTTTCGGCGCAGTCGAATATTACCTAATAGAGAAAAAAAATAAATATTTAAATTAATTAAAAAGTGTTAATTATGGGATGAGTTGGTGTCGACTCAAACTAACAATGGGGTACATAATGGGCCCAACACGAGCCCAATAAATTCCAACTCGCATAGTGAGGAACAGGTCCTCAGAGCGGCCCAATGGATCCCCTGGTCCAATAAACCCCTTAGTTTTATTATGAACACAGCCTATCTTTGAAAAAACCGGCGACGAAATATTGAGATTGGATGTTGCAGGGATGAGAATACCTCTCCTGAAGAGAGAGAAAGAAGAGAGAGAAAGAAGAGAGAGAGAGAGAGAGAGAGAGAGAGAGAGAGAGAGAGAGAGAGAGAGAGAGTTGCAGAAAGCAGTGAGGGCGACCCAACAAAAGCACCATATGTGACAGAGGGACAGCACCTAGTGGGTTGGGGAAAATTCATTCACAGCTTGCTGCTGCTACAGCAGCAGCCTTGGGAGGAGAGAGAGACAGAGACAGTGAGAGAGAGAGAGAGAGAGAGAGAGATGAGCAGTGAACACATTCATACATCCACGAGCGGCCGACGGGGCTATTTTGGGAAGCCCTCTCCACATTCCCCACCAGGTGTGCTTCATCAATTATAGAGAAGGGCACAGAAGGATTGAAGAAGTGGGGAGGAGACCTTGAGAAGGCAGCGAGCGGCTTTTTCCAACCCACAGTAAAACCAGGGGAGAAGCGCCGGAGGAGGAGGGAGAAGCTAGGGTTAGAGTTTTCCCTTCTCCTTGCCTTTCCGCTTCCTCGACCGCAACAAGCCCTAGTGGCAATTGGCGCTCTTACCGGGGCCGCCGAAGTAGAAGTAGCTCCCCCAGTCGCCATTGTAGCCGCTCTGAACGTCGTAGCAGTTGGACTGTTCGGTGAAGGTGCCGACCCCCTTGGGGGCCCTCAGATTGTTTGACTCATCGACGACCTGCACATTCCTGAAGTAGCTCGCCCTTCCGAAGCCCTCCTCCGGGAAGCGGCCGGAGCCCATCTGAGTGGCGGTGTGCTCTCCGTTTGGCTCCGAGTTCACCACCTCCCCTCCCCACTCCACCATGGAAGCACTCTCCGCGAGGTAGGAGAAGAGGAAGGAGGGCCAGTAGCCGAGGACGTAGTCGCTCCCGAATTGCATCCACCAGTTTCCCTCTTGGGGATCCTGCAAAGGGAAGAGAGCAAGAGATCAGCCTGCAGTTGACGCCGGATTAGGGTTAGAGTTTTCTTTCTCGCTTGTCACCTTCCAGACGAGGATGCTGATGTCGTACTGGCTACCGTGGTAGGAGGAGATGGGGAGGATGCTAGCCCCCATGGCTATCTCCCCGTTGACCTGGATGAACCCGGAGCAGAGAAGGTTGTAGCAGCCAGTCGCCTGGTATGCGTCACTCTGGAGGAAATGAAAGAGAATCTCGTCAGAGAAGAACCCTAATCAAAAGGAGGAAGATGAAGAAGGGGGACTCACCGTCCAGTAGGTGAAGAGCCTGGTATTATTATCTCCGTATAGATCGGGGCTGACCTGCTCGAGATTGATATTTGGGGAAGGCCATTAGAAAACATGGATGGGGTAAGGGGTGGTGCAGGTGGGAATGTCAATGGAGTTAGAGAGAGAAACCTGCCACCCTGCTTCGATGCTGTTGAGATCCTCCCCAAAGGAGCCTCCCAGGATCCAGAGCTGGGAGAGGCTGAACTCGTTGACCTGCTGGATCTTAGGGTTCCAAACGTTGATGGTGGCCTTTGCTCCGTAATACTTGTCTCCTTCTACATAAGCAATCGCATGCTACTCAACAAGATAGAGAGAGAAAGAAGAAAAAGATTTGAGGAAGTTGCAGAGAGCTTGCCAGGAAGAAAATGGCCGCGAGGGTCTGGGGGGCTTACCTGGTGACCGCTCTCATTGACGAGATCTGGGTCTGCGGAGGTCGGCTTGGGGATGGACCTGTGCTTCTTCTTCCCGTATCTCTTCACGGAGCTCGCCCTGAGGAGGTCGTCTCTCCTGGTTCGCCTGATGGGTATGGTGTTCTCCGGGCACCTCCCGTTGAGGTGCCATGGCTGGGCGATGGAGACCCTCTGACTGGAACTCGCCTTCGCCCTGGTCTCCTCGTACATTCCTTCCGGAAAGAAGGCCGGCCTCATCTGTGGAAGAACCCCCATCAGACAGAGATAGATAGCGAGAGAGAGAGAGAGAGAGAGAGAGAGAGAGAGAGAGAGAGAGAGAGAGAGAGAGAGAGAGAGAGAGAGAGAGAGAGGGACGGACCTGGATGGTTTGGTTCTTGAGGAAGGGGTGATCGAAGGCGGGTTGATGATGGAGATGGACGCAGTCGATTATGTCTCCGTCTGGGCTCTGGAAATGCACAGAGGACAGAAGGTCTAGTGAGAGAGAGCTGCAGATTCGACATTAAAGTTGAGTTTTTCAGGGAGAAATACCTGGATGCTCTTCACGGCCGGCTTGTTGAGATGTTTTAGGTGCCGCCTGATCGCCAGCCGCTTCTGGGACATGGAAGCGCCGCCGGCGATGCTCACAAAGGAAGAGAGGACCACTGCCGTCAATACCAGGAGAGTCGACGCCCCCACCCACCGTCGGCCATGTCTGGCGCCGCGGCGCCCCCCCATGGTTAGTCTGATGAAGAAGGGGACGAACCGAAGAGAATGAGCGCCGCAGAGAAATGCCTGACCCTTTAGAGAGGAGACATTTTCTCTATCCCCCCCATGGCGGTGGCACAAGGTGGAGGTCGAGGAGGGAAGAATGACTCTCTCTCTCTCACTCTCACTGTGTAATGACGCCTGTGTGGAGGACGAGGAATGAAACACTGGTTCTCTCTCTCTCTCTCTCTCTCTCTCTCCCTACTTCAAACACACAGTAATGGCCACTGAGAGGAGGGATAAGAAAGGAATCAGAGAAGGGCTCTCTCTCTACCCAGCTAGCTGGTCAGCTGCATTATATGCAGGTTTTATTCTCTCCTCTTCGTCTTCTTCCTCCTTTCTCCGGTTGGCTGGGGAAGGAATCAGGGGGGAAAGGGAGGGGGAGGCTGGTGGTGGGCGGCGGAGTGGGGCGGGGGATTGGCGGAGGGAAAGGAGTTCTTTTTCTTATCACACCGCCGAGGAAGGTTAGAGAGGGGGAGAGAGAGAGAGAGGAGAGAGGGCTAGTGGGGGTGGGTCGGTGGCGCTGCTGAGCCAGGGCTCGTCGTTTACGGCGGCCTCCTCGCCGGCGCTGTCAAACAGAAAGCGTAGCAGCGGCGAATGGCGACGGCGACCGCCAGCTCGCCGGCCTCGGTTTTGAATCCTGGGTTTTTCCCTCTCCAGCCTCGATTAACAACATTTCTTACACCATCCCCCCCATTCTCTCTCTCTATCTCTATCTCTTTGGTTTGGGCACATGGGTGGTCCTCTCCGCGTGGTCTCTTTGTACTGTACTTTGTAGCACGGTTTGACGTGGTCCGCGTGGGCCTGTCCTTGCCGTCTAGTCTGCCCAGCAGCGCGGCTCTTCCCTCTCTCTCTCTCTCGCTCCACAGTGTAATCTTGACATTTTATCTTTCCGTCCTCTTTCTCTCTCTCTACTGTAGTCTTTACCCTCTATCCCTCCCTTCCTTCTCTCTATCCGTCTCTCTTCTCCCTATATCTCTCTCCTCTACTGTAGTCTTTACCCTCTATCCCTCCCTTCCTTCTCTCTATCCCTCTCTCTTCTCCCTATATCTCTCTCCTCTACTGTAGTCTTTACCCTCTATCCCTCCCTTCCTTCTCTCTATCCCTCTCTCTTCTCCCTATATCTCTCTCCTCTACTGTAGTCTTTACCCTCTATCCCTCCCTTCCTTCTCTCTATCCCTCTCTCTTCTCCCTATATCTCTCTCCTCTACTGTAGTCTTTACCCTCTATCCCTCCCTTCCTTCTCTCTATCCCTCTCTCTTCTCCCTATATCTCTCTCCTCTACTGTAGTCTTTACCCTCTATCCCTCCCTTCCTTCTCTCTATCCCTCTCTCTTCTCCCTATATCTCTCTCCTCTACTGTAGTCTTTACCCTCTATCCCTCCCTTCCTTCTCTCTATCCCTCTCTCTTCTCCCTCTCTCTCTCTCTCTCTCTCTCTCTCTCTCTCTCTCTCTCTCTCTCTTTACTGTTTACTTTTAAGCCTTTCTCCCTCCCTCCTCCCTCTTGCGTTTACTATACCGTTAATTTTCCCACCCTCTCCCTCTCCTTTCCTCTACACGGCAACAGCGGCTACACGACAGAAGAAATGACGTAAAACGTTCATGACCTAAACATTATCGCCAATTTTTCAACTTTAATAGTTCCAAAAATTAAATAGCATCTTATATTTTCTCTAAAAGCATATATTCTTTTTTTAAATACCGTATTTAAGAGGATTCTAAGTAATATAAGCAAATTTCTGGTTTAAATAATTAAATAAAAGCACCACTTTAATCAGGTATATTACGGCAAAGATAAACCACGCCGATAAAAGAGGGTTCAGCCTGGAACGCTTTAGTGCCATAGAGAATAACAGAGCAAGTTTTCATAAGAGGAGAGTAAGTTAGAGAGAGAGAGAGAGAGAGAGAGAGAGAGAGAGAAGCAAGCAGAGTGATGTAGTTGGGAGGAAGCAATTGAAAGGTATAGAGCAAGTTCAAAAGAGAAGCGCGAATAAAAGGGATTAAAAAGCACGTAGAAAGAGAGAAAGTAGCCGGGAGATAAAACAGTCCTTGGAGAGGGAAAGGGGGAGAGAGAAAGGCGTAAAGAGAGTAGAAGATATAGAAAGAGAGTACGGCAAGATTGAGGAAGAAGTATACAGAGCTCCCTCTCTCTCTCTCTCTCTCTCTCACACACACACACCCCCTATTCGTGTGTCGACGTTAGGGCAGGGACCGTGCATGACCTCGATTAAGAGTCGTCGTCGTGCCCCCTTTGCTGAGTCGGAACACCCCAACATCTAAAGTCAGAATGATTGAATGGAGAGCTTTTCTCGATGGGCCGTCTCATGCATGTGCTTCCGTAGAGATGGATGGCGAGAGAGGGAAAGAGAGTGAAAATGGAGATTTTGTAAGAGCGTCTGTGAGGAAGACCTAAGCTGCTCTCTTAGAGAGATGGATTGAGAGAGTTAGAGGGGGGACGATGCGAGAGAGACTGTCTCTGTGACGGGGGGTAGGTTTAAGCTTAGGATGACGAAGACGAGGAACCAAACTTTCTCAGGCTCCAGCGGCTCCACCTCGTCATCTCTCTGCTTCCACTGTTCTCCCCACTCCCGCCTTGGAGCGGCAGGGACAGACCGTATACCTTTCAAGGCTCCTAGTATGACCCTCAATGTGTGTGTGTGTGAGAGAGAGAGGGAGAGAGAGAGAGAGAGAGAGAGAGATGAATGTAAGATTATAATGAATTAGACCGAGAAGTAACCCAAAACTGCACTTATTCGGTCTCCCCGGCCAATGCAAAGTTCAGCGTAATGAACATGGCTGATTTTAGCGATTATTCCCAAGCTATGCACGTTCAAGGACAGCTATCTGTTGCACCAGACGATAGGAAAGCCACATCTCCCAAAAGTGGTAAGCCAAACCATATTATTCTAGTTATCCCCTCCCATTGGCTTTGAACTGCATGGCAGCAAAGGGTATAGGTCAATCAGGACCGACTAAGAAGCCTAAATTTCGTCATTCATGCCACATGCCTAAACCTCTCTCTCTCTCTCTCTCTCTCCGGAGGTTGCTTTTGAAATAGTGGCTGAATGAAGGCCTTGTAAGAGAAACTTGGCTGAAGTCGAGATAGACAAGGGCCTGAGCTTGGCCGGCCAATTGAATACCACACGGCGATAATATTTCTAATGTTATTATTATTAGTAGTGGGTTTCTTCTCTCTTCGGGGATTTAACCTGAAAAAAGACTACATTTTTACCCTCGCTTATTCGAGCTGTGTTTCTTGGCTCGTCTGCAATGCCCTCCTGAACCAGCTTTGTCCGAACAGAAACGTACAAATTTAGGGAAATGTCCCTTTGCCCCTCTGGAGTCTAGTCCCTGGTCCCTGACAAGCTTGGTTCGAAGATAATTGGCCCTAAGAGCGGAGAGGAACACCACGATAGATAGGTAGAGAGAGAGAGAGAGAGAGAGAGAGAGAGAGAGAGAGATGGGACTAGACACAAACTGAGAGAGAATCTGCGGACTGATGTGCGAAAGAGGCTCCTCGCTGTCCTCCCCAGTCATCTACTTCCCCTGGTATCTCTCAACAGCTATCATTGCACTGCCTGAAACGATACCTTCTGTAAATCCCTGTGATCTCCGTCAGATTTCTGATTCAAATCCGACTCCATGATGAAATTAGGTTTGACCCGATTTCTCTCTCTCTCTCTTTCATAGGTACAGACGAAGAACTGGGCCTTGAATTGGGCTTCGTAAGGTCCACCTCGAAGCCCGTTTTCCGGTTTTTTGCGAGGCTAGGGGGATTGACTTTATCAGACGACCCTGCTTGTATGCATTCAGTTTTTCTTCCCAACGGCGAGGCAAGAGCAAACCCCATTTTCTGGGTTTAGGGTGTTGAGCATGAGCAGCTCAAATCCGAAAGAAACCCTAATTCTATGTTCCATCCATTGTTCCGACCACTAACATGTACTGTAGGCTTTCATGGCCATGTCATCCTCCTCTATCTCAGGTCGTCTTCTAAGGTCCTCTACCTCAGTTGTAACCTTCTGGTGCTCTCCTTCGATGGATGTTGACTTCGCTGTAATGGTCAACTCGGGTCATCCCTTAAGAAGAAGAGTCTTGGTGTGGCGGTTCACAAGGTGGGTGGGGTGTTGTCGTGAGCTTTGAGATTGTAATACAGAGTGAGAAAACGGATGCCAATAGGCCATGTACGGCAAGACCCTCAAGATGAGGTCCTTAAAGAGCATTAGGTGTTTCCCCAGTACTCTTTGTAGGAGTTCGGCCTGAGCTCCAATATAGTCTCAAATAATGTTTGGTGCCCATTTTCATTCCCACGTGGATGTTCCAAGACTCTCTCTCTCTCTCTCTCTTCCCACCAAGTCCTGGCTGCAGCTGCCGCCAATCACCACAGCCTGGGGAAGTAGGGCTTCTTCAACCACTCGAAGGTCAACTGGGTGATTCCCCGGTTGTTGTACTCGCTCAATCAGCTGATGTAGTGCGTCGATGTGCTGGAGGCAACGTTGGTATCTTCCAACAGGGCTGAAGTGATGGGTGAGCCGCACAAACCAGCCCCGGTAAAGACAAGTCCGCGTGTCAGTCTAGAGCGGACATCCAGAACACCAATGGAGTTGGCTCCGATAGCCGAGCCTTAGCCACGAACTGAAGCACTCACTTAGAGATCCTCAGATTCATCAAAAACAATACGACAGAGTAGGTGTTCCACACGGAGCTCTACTTCAAGATTAATGGAATTGGCGGATGCAGGCAAGATTACTATAACAGCTATAACAGTTATCATGGTACCTTTGGATAGTAGAGTGTTGTCATTCAAGAATTGATTGGACTTCCAAATCTAACTATTCAAACGTTTTCCTTTTGAGTATTCTCACACCAATATTGGAGAACAACTCTCTCAATAGATTGAGGGAGGAAATTCTTATGGAAGTCAACATGTTGATGCCAGAAAACTTGGAAGATATGATGTGCTTAACTCAGAAAGCTTAGTGAGGCCACTAGACCCCCCCTCCATATAGGAGTAAGGAATGACCTAGATGTGGGGAACTAGTAATGTGGTCGACCCCTTTGGTGGAGCTTGACCCACAACAAAAGTCAGAGGTGAACAAAAGACAAGTTCAATTAATTGCATCTATGTTGCAAATTAGAAAGACAAAAGTGTTTCTATCATATGAGAAGTTCAACTCAAGATACAATTGCAAGGAGTTGCCAATCTTGTTGGTCCACAAAGAGGATGTTGAAACATCATATGGGCAAGTGGAGGATGACTAGGGGGAGATACCCAAGAGTGTAACGGAGAAGGCTCCATTAACCAAAACTAAAGTCTCTCTCAATGCAATGATAAGTTTAACAACACTAAGCATATTAAAAGTTATAAGGCAATTGCACTATAGGGACGTGCCTATTTAATTAATTATAGAGACACCAACAACTTTATATAAGTTAATTACACAAATATTATATTGTTCCCAATGTAACAACTAAAGAATGGTGGGTTCTTGTGCTCAAAGGTGACAAAATGCACCTTCCAACACTTTAAGAAGGCAATGAAAATTATACTGGTCGTCGCCTCTCCCTAATTTCTCAAAGGCCTTTAGGTTGGAGTACGCCGCCTCTAGCCATGATGTTGGTGTCATTTTAATATAAGAGAAATAACCCATAACATATTTTAGTTAAGTTTGATCTCCACTCAACCAAGTCATATCCATCTATGAGAGAGAACTAATGAAAATTGTGTTAGTTGTGTAAAGTGGAGACATTATCTCATTAGCACGTGATTCATCATATTCACAAACCATTACAATCTCAAGTTCATGTTGGAATAAAGATAAATACTCTTATAATTTTAGAGGTCGATCTCTAAGTTGCTATCTTATGACTTTAAAATCAATTTCAAGAAGGTGTTCACTAATCAAAAGGTGACTGGTGCATTGTCCCAAGCATCATAGGCAACTAAACTACAAGTGATGACAATAGTTCATTTGTCACCTTTGAATATGTAACGAATAGAGCAAGAGGTGGCAAATGATACTACATCAATTAAGTAGACCCATTGTTTGGATAAAACAATGAAATATCAGTTATAACTCTATTAAAAATAAATTATTATATTTGATAAGTCTTCATTATCATGAGTTAATAATTAGTAAATAATATAGTTTTAGCCTTAACTCATGATAAATAGACTTATATTTATGTTAAAGTGTAAAAAGTAATTTTCAATTGATTAACATGAGTTTTTGGGTAATTATATAATTTTAAATAAATTTATATAATTTTTACAATCTTACTTTTGAGATAAATGAAGAAAAATAAATACAAATAAAAATAAAATAAAATAGGAGGACCCACTGGCCAACTGGGCCCACAAGTGGGTCGGAAGCGTAGTAGGGAAGGAGCTGCAAGTAGAGGCTTGAGCGGCTTGAACCGATAGGGACACGTGTGCGCCACTCCCTTTCCACATCACCAGTGGCAGCTGGCTATAGGGTAAGGAGTGGTCGTACATGCGCAAAAAAGGAACTTGCTTGTAAATGTAATATTATTATATATTCACCCAAAAATTCGGCACACAAGTAATGTGAAACTAGACCTGTATCACCTTCCCTAGAAAAGGCGGGTAACTAGTGTAGGTTTAAATCCTTCTAGAGCCAAAACTTTTATATATTTTTTTAATTATCGTGACTTTCTTGCAAATCGCCAATGAAGGATTAAGCCATCATAATCACTAGATCATCGACAAAAATTTCATCAATGTGATTCGCGGAGCATTGTTACTAAAATTGTTGAACGATTTACCATAAAAAGATTGTGAATTCATTGAGTAAGACATCTCCGATTGATCGACAAACAAGTCGTCGTCATGAAAAGAACGATATGCCAGGAGATAAGTCGCCACCTCTTGAGAGCATACCGAATGTGATGAAGAGCCTCCTTTTACTACGCGGACTTGAGGATGAAGCTCCTTGACATACACCCCACCTCCATCTAGCTCTGCTTCGTCAAGTGATAGTCGTTGAAGAGCCGCAAAGTTGTCGATTTTCTGCTCTGCCAATTGACAGTCATCGGAGACAATTTGATGACCTATTTCATTGATTGCTAGACTTCGCAAAGAGATCTAAAGATTGCCCATGTCGTCCTTGTCTAAGAAGAGCCTTTAAGGATGTGGACACTATATAACGATTCTCTCAAATGCTCAAGATTTTGGTGCATCACCGACATATCGTCGGCCCAATGTCGAAATCTTGTTTTCTTACTTTCAACTTACTTTATGCTTCAATTAGTAATAATTTGTTGATTTTAAATTTACCAACCTATACCTCAATCACTTATGATTCTTTCGACTTTTATAGATCTTAATTTGATTAATTAAATTATCTATAATTGCTTACATAAGAATCGTCAAGTGGAACTCTATTTCTACTCGATTTGCATTCGCCGGGCACTGACGTCATCCTAACGTCCGCACCTTTATTTCCCTTTTTCGTGAATTTTAAATATATTTCATTTCTATTTCCTAGTATAAACTTCATATAAAATAGTATACTTTGAGAAAAATTCTAAATAATTACCTAATATTATATTATATCCTTATGATTGACTTAGAAAATTACTATTATTTTTGAAATTTTTATTGAATTATACTTGATATATTGGTTTAAAAATACTTCTAAATATTTTAAAATTTATTTTTTCTAGTTTTATAAATTTTAAATTTACGTGATTTACTATACAATGACTAAGTCATGTCAGTATCATAAACACTAAGTGGTCTTATCTCACAATTCTTCACTTATTCCTCAATTATTTAAATAAAATTATAATATATTAGATAGTCATTCTAATTTCTTATGTATATATAGAGAGAATATAGAGAGATTTATACAACCACAATATAAAGAGAATGATATAAAAATTTGTGACATAATGTCTCATAGGTCAATAACATAAAGGTAGATTCTTTCTCTTCAATCAAACTACCACAACCTCTATTTAATCTCAAATTGAGTTTAGAATGATTTTTTTATAGATTTTATAAAAGGATTATCCAATTCCTATGGTAAAAAGGTCATATTGGATATTATTTAAGTATGCTCACTTTACATCAATATTCATATTTTCTCTCTCTCATAAATTATAAATATGTTTGTGAATGAAGTTGTTGATAAATCTTCATTATTATAAGTTACTAGCTAATTAATAATATAATTTAAACCCTAAATTATGATAAATAGACTTATATTTATATTAAATTATACAACGTAATTTTTAACTAGTTAATATGAATTTTTGGTTAATTATGTGATTTTATGAGAATTTTTATAATTTTTATAATCTTATTTTTTAGATAAATAAAAAGAAATAAAATAAAATAAACATATAAGTAGGTGGTCGCCAAGGGTGGGTTCAAATCTTATCAATGTTTGACCCAGAGATGTGGATCATCCCAAGCACATTAGCGTGGCATACTCATCCTATTCGAATTAGAGTTTGAAACCAAACTTATCCTCAAGAGGATAGATGGGGCGATCAATGATTTTCCTACAGTATGATGATCAAGGATTAAGTTGTCATAATCACTCAATCATTAGTTAAAATCTACCATGATGTTGGAACTATAATTTACCATTTTTAACTAGTCTAACTTTCACCATCATTTTTTAGACTTCAAAATGCTTAAGTCATCCATATCCAAAGAGAACCTTAAATACACAAGATTCTGATAATCGTTATCGCAAGGCCAAAATTCTATCTTTCATGATTTCAAATTAATTTTTACTTAAATTAATGAGACTTTGTGTGATTTCAAGTTTCAAAACTCTTCTTTATTAAATTACAATTCTTCTGGCTTTTATATAATTTAATTTGATCAATTAAAATGTCTATAATCACTTACATAAAGATTATTGAGTGAAATTCTATATTTACCTAATTCACATTCATTTGACCATTGATGTAAACCTAACATCTACACCATTAATTCCCTTTTCACAAATTTTAAATACATTTATATCTTATTTAATTTAAAAATTATAACAAATCCTATTTTTTTTGAAAATTTTTGAAATATTACTTGATATTATATCCTTATGATCGACTTGAAAATTTCTCTACTATATTTAAAATATTTTACTAAATATCTAAAAAATTATATCTTATTGCTTTACAAAATTTTAATTTATAAACATAATTATGATATTAACTTGTGATAAGTTGAACTATTGGAGCAAATGACCACTATGAGTAGAGTTTTAGCATAACATCGATTTTCATCAATCTCTTCATACCACCCCCTTCTATGTCCTATATGGTCAAGATCCTTTACTAATTATGTGTTGTGGATCACAATCAATAATTTGACAAAGGTAAAAGTTCAACTTTGAGAACATGATATCAACATTATACATTATAAATGAACATTTGACATATGGTTAAATCAAAAATAAAATTACATTATGATTGTCATTGTCAAAATTACTAATTAGATAATAAATTTATATAAAGATTCACCTTTGCTACATGTATTTCCTTACTCGATGCCACAACAAGAAGGTTGACTTATGCTTCTTTGGGTTTTAAAGTCTTTAAAATGATCAAATCAGCCACTTATTGCCTCCACTTATCACTAATAGTTCAAGTTCATCTTATTTTTCATGTCTTACAATTGAAGAGTCATGTGAAAAAGATCAACAATCCAACTTCTCTTCCCTAAGTGGCACCCTAAAGAACAAGGTACTTAAGGTGGTGGGGAGTATTGTTAGGCCACTTGGCTTAACTTACCCCCACAAGAGAAAGTAGGCC